ATCGCTGGCACGCGCACTACACGGTGTGCGACTCGTGCTACCAGCAGCGCAACAAGGGCTCCTTCTGCCCGCTGTGCCGCCGCGCCTACCGCGCCGCCGCCTACCGCGACATGATCCGCTGCACCGCCTGCCGGAGGTACTGTCATATGTACTCCACACTTGTGCACCCCTACTCGCTATCGCTGGCACGCGCACTACACGGTGTGCGACTCGTGCTACCAGCAGCGCAACAAGGGCTCCTTCTGCCCGCTGTGCCGCCGCGCCTACCGCGCCGCCGCCTACCGCGACATGATCCGCTGCACCGCCTGCCGGAGGTACTGTCATATGTACTCCACACTTGTGCACCCCTACTCGCTATCGCTGGCACGCGCACTACACGGTGTGCGACTCGTGCTACCAGCAGCGCAACAAGGGCTCCTTCTGCCCGCTGTGCCGCCGCGCCTACCGCGCCGCCGCCTACCGCGACATGATCCGCTGCACCGCCTGCCGGAGGTACTGTCATATGTACTCCACACTTGTGCACCCCTACTCGCTATCGCTGGCACGCGCACTACACGGTGTGCGACTCGTGCTACCAGCAGCGCAACAAGGGCTCCTTCTGCCCGCTGTGCCGCCGCGCCTACCGCGCCGCCGCCTACCGCGACATGATCCGCTGCACCGCCTGCCGGAGGTACTGTCATATGTACTCCACACTTGTGCACCCCTACTCGCTATCGCTGGCACGCGCACTACACGGTGTGCGACTCGTGCTACCAGCAGCGCAACAAGGGCTCCTTCTGCCCGCTGTGCCGCCGCGCCTACCGCGCCGCCGCCTACCGCGACATGATCCGCTGCACCGCCTGCCGGAGGTACTGTCATATGTACTCCACACTTGTGCACCCCTACTCGCTATCGCTGGCACGCGCACTACACGGTGTGCGACTCGTGCTACCAGCAGCGCAACAAGGGCTCCTTCTGCCCGCTGTGCCGCCGCGCCTACCGCGCCGCCGCCTACCGCGACATGATCCGCTGCACCGCCTGCCGGAGGTACTGTCATATGTACTCCACACTTGTGCACCCCTACTCGCTATCGCTGGCACGCGCACTACACGGTGTGCGACTCGTGCTACCAGCAGCGCAACAAGGGCTCCTTCTGCCCGCTGTGCCGCCGCGCCTACCGCGCCGCCGCCTACCGCGACATGATCCGCTGCACCGCCTGCCGGAGGTACTGTCATATGTACTCCACACTTGTGCACCCCTACTCGCTATCGCTGGCACGCGCACTACACGGTGTGCGACTCGTGCTACCAGCAGCGCAACAAGGGCTCCTTCTGCCCGCTGTGCCGCCGCGCCTACCGCGCCGCCGCCTACCGCGACATGATCCGCTGCACCGCCTGCCGGAGGTACTGTCATATGTACTCCACACTTGTGCACCCCTACTCGCTATCGCTGGCACGCGCACTACACGGTGTGCGACTCGTGCTACCAGCAGCGCAACAAGGGCTCCTTCTGCCCGCTGTGCCGCCGCGCCTACCGCGCCGCCGCCTACCGCGACATGATCCGCTGCACCGCCTGCCGGAGGTACTGTCATATGTACTCCACACTTGTGCACCCCTACTCGCTATCGCTGGCACGCGCACTACACGGTGTGCGACTCGTGCTACCAGCAGCGCAACAAGGGCTCCTTCTGCCCGCTGTGCCGCCGCGCCTACCGCGCCGCCGCCTACCGCGACATGATCCGCTGCACCGCCTGCCGGAGGTACTGTCATATGTACTCCACACTTGTGCACCCCTACTCGCTATCGCTGGCACGCGCACTACACGGTGTGCGACTCGTGCTACCAGCAGCGCAACAAGGGCTCCTTCTGCCCGCTGTGCCGCCGCGCCTACCGCGCCGCCGCCTACCGCGACATGATCCGCTGCACCGCCTGCCGGAGGTACTGTCATATGTACTCCACACTTGTGCACCCCTACTCGCTATCGCTGGCACGCGCACTACACGGTGTGCGACTCGTGCTACCAGCAGCGCAACAAGGGCTCCTTCTGCCCGCTGTGCCGCCGCGCCTACCGCGCCGCCGCCTACCGCGACATGATCCGCTGCACCGCCTGCCGGAGGTACTGTCATATGTACTCCACACTTGTGCACCCCTACTCGCTATCGCTGGCACGCGCACTACACGGTGTGCGACTCGTGCTACCAGCAGCGCAACAAGGGCTCCTTCTGCCCGCTGTGCCGCCGCGCCTACCGCGCCGCCGCCTACCGCGACATGATCCGCTGCACCGCCTGCCGGAGGTACTGTCATATGTACTCCACACTTGTGCACCCCTACTCGCTATCGCTGGCACGCGCACTACACGGTGTGCGACTCGTGCTACCAGCAGCGCAACAAGGGCTCCTTCTGCCCGCTGTGCCGCCGCGCCTACCGCGCCGCCGCCTACCGCGACATGATCCGCTGCACCGCCTGCCGGAGGTACTGTCATATGTACTCCACACTTGTGCACCCCTACTCGCTATCGCTGGCACGCGCACTACACGGTGTGCGACTCGTGCTACCAGCAGCGCAACAAGGGCTCCTTCTGCCCGCTGTGCCGCCGCGCCTACCGCGCCGCCGCCTACCGCGACATGATCCGCTGCACCGCCTGCCGGAGGTACTGTCATATGTACTCCACACTTGTGCACCCCTACGCACTCTTGCTTACTTTCTCACTAAGCATAACCAACCATTGTGCTATATAATCTACTTCTAATTGTCTTATTCTAATTCCAATTATTCTTTTTCTAATCGAAATAAATACATTTATTTGTTTCTATTTTATTGAATAATCTTCTTTAAAAATACTAAGTCCGTGACCCGTATAACAGTACGTTGCTTCGCACAGCCGCGAGTCGCTACCGTTGGTCAAGCTACAGAATAAACACAACTAATGACATTATAGTGATAGCCGGTATATAGTCCGGTCGCCAAGTACAAGGAATTTCGTACAATGACCTTTGTTCTAACTCAGTGGTCAAAAACATTTTTAGATAAAGTACATATCTGTGATATATTACTAACTAATGAAGAGAGAATGGCAATATTTTTTTTAATGTTGTTACGTTAGCTAGTTACGTGGTGCGTGTCGTTGCAAGAGAACATTCCCGAAGATGGCCTCTGTCAAGTTAATAAAATGTGTAGGCATAAAATACTCAATGCTCAAACCATTGATGCAAGCAAAACGCAACCTTATGTCCACATGCAAAAAGCCTGTTGACCTAGAATTTTATACATTCCTTTTATTGGGTATAAATGCTTAAGCCAGGGATCGGAGAATTAATTACTTCGGGAACGTGAAAGTGAACCCAAATTCAGAACGACACTACGGGCAATCGACCTACGACATCTGTGATTATTAAGGACCTCATCTCACTGTGAATAAACGAATACGTTCAAATCTCATTCTAATCGCACGTAACAATGTATTTATTATGCTTGGCCTTGGTCTGACTCCGATAAGTTATTTAGCTTAAATTACTGACGAGTCGATTCCCTTTACTTAAACGTGTACTTATTTAGCATTTAGAAGAAAATAAAAGAGTAATAATTTTGCGCTTTAAAATAAATATTTATGTAAAATCAATTTGTTTCGGTGTCCGAGGATGTCAGTCTATTTATGAATCGCTAGTTATCTATTTGATTATTTAATTTATCGAGTATTTCGACTTGATGAAACACACGCTACAGACTTAACATGAAAAACTATTTAAACAATAACTGAGATATCACCAGCGTATTCCAATACAGAATGTCGCTAAAACTTTAGTTTAATAATAAATAACAATGTTAAGACAAACAAAAGAACACGTGCACAAGAACAATCCTTGTTATAGTCAAAAGGTTTGCAATAACTCACGATGGCGGTTACTGTATATGTGCGAGCGCTACGGTAATATATTTATGCGCGAGTGAGTAAGACGAGTAATGACGGGTCATTGTACGAAATTCTTCGTGTTGGACGACCGGACTTTAGTCATAATAATAATATCCTCCAGATCGAATTTCGGTCATGGCGGTCAGTCTCAACAGAAACTGCCCATCTATGTATGAGATCATATTGCACGAGTGTGTGCGCAAGCACTTTTTATTATCTCACTTTTTTTTAATCCAATGGGATGGAATCTGACATGACCAGTAAGAGATCAAGATCAGGACAAGCTTTAAGTGCTTTCCGGGGTACGGGGGTAAAATACTGCTAACTTCCCGACTCCAGACTGCTACTGAAATTTTTACAACGGAAAAGTCTAATTACTGCTGGGATCATATGATCAGCAGTCCCGACCACTAGATCAACCGGGCAGTCATAGTAATAATAATAGTATTAATATTTAGCTAGGAGTGCAGAGCTACATCCACTAGATTTAATGACATATTTTATAGATAGTACAAACAATGTAATGTCAAACCCATGTACTACAATCACTTTAATATAAATAAAGTTATTCTATTGTAAATATTTGTTAATTTTGCTGAGATGAGCCAAATTCGGCAAGTGAACTGTATTCCGCCAATCTAACGTTTTATATAGCTTCCAGGTGCATAGTTAAAAAAGTCGTATTATAAATTTTTTAGATCAATTAAAGAGCATAAGTTTCAGTAATTCAGTAAGAGTCGAGTGCTAGTTACTTTGATTTTGTGCGAGTACTACCCGAATGTCTGTTATTACCCTTTTTCATACCCCGCCTTACTCGCATGTCGCCCACCGCTGCTATAAAAATTTACGAGGTAAAATGGCTTTATACTACTGGGCACAAGCCCCGTCCTAAGCGCACCACTTAGCCCGATCATAACTTATCCAGTTGCCGCTAAACTGTAAGTAATTATATACTGACGCTTGTGTCGTCCAAACCAGAATTATAAGTACAGTTCAGAGAGTGGAAATATACATAGGCTCTCAGACAAAAAATAAATTCTACCTGCTATTTGATAAGGCTAAGCTTTGGAGTGTTGTTAAGTCTATATGATCTATTAATTTTGTATTTGTAGGTATGTACACGGTGCTTGCGATCCTGAAGCAGAACCGCAGCAGTATAGGCAAAAAAAAGATCAAAATCCTGCCTATGAATACAACTGCCCCATTTGTAAAGCACACATGCAATTGACTGGCTCCAAGTCTGGTTGTAAGTTGTTTACACACTTATTTTGATTGTCCCTTAAATTGAAATCAAAACTTTATTAAGACAACTAATTATCTCTAATTTTATAAAAATGTATGGCCAAAGGACATGCAATGTCTAAAAATTAATATAATAATATGTAAAAATTGCTTGCTATATTTGAGAACTTGATTAATTTTCTTGCACAAACAACAGCATTTGAAGACGATAGCTTACCGCAGAGTGGACAAGATTCATCATATGGCGATGAAAATTCACAAGAGCAGGATCCTCTTGCTATAGAGCCAAAAGTAAGAATTATCTTTTATGCTCTCATATATTTCTTTTTTATTCAAAATAAATGGTTTATTTATGTTAATTTGAACATTTTCACAACAGGGTGATGTAGGTCTGGGAAAAGGAAAACCATTTTCTGTGTCATCAAAAGTGGCGAAGAAAAAGATTGGCGGTTATAAACTCAAGGGCGGGTACCCTCCCGCTGGTAAGCTGGGCTTTCATAAGCGGCAAAGATCTGTTCTAGAATTTGGACGGAAGAGAGGCTCCAAGCCTAAAATGAGAGGCGTGTTTGGAGTACCAGGGCTGGGCTTGCAAAGGCCTCAAGCACCAGATAATAAAACTCAAGAAGATGATCCAGGTAAGAATAAAACATATAGGATGTTTTGTAATAATTTAATTAAGGATGAAAAAAGAAAATATCACCAAAACGAATTAATTAAAAATATAAATATTAAAGAACTTTTAAAAACTATACACAACGCGACGCGACTAATACTCAGAAGATTAAAAGCAGTTGACCCTTAAATACACACCCGAGCAGTCAGTAAATTATATGAATAATTATTTTACTACTATAGGTACCGAATTAGCTAATAATATTCCTAAAATTGTTCCACAATTGCCACCCAATGCTGTGAAAAATTTCTTGTCTAGTACTAGTTCTTTTGTGATGAAGGATGTTTCAGAGGGTGAAACTGAATATTTGATTATCAATCTTAAAACTGAATCTCGACCTGGATGGGATGGTATTTCGACAAAAACAATTAAAGCTGTAAAAGATTACATTGTTCCTCCACTTACGAAGCTCTTTAACCAGTGTATAAAAGACTGTGTATATTCTAAAGTTTTTAAGAAATCAGTTGTACTGCCTATCCATAATGGAGGAGACTATATCAATAACTATCGACCCATATCAATACTTTCTACTTTATCAAAAATCTTTGTAAAATTTTAAATAAAAGAATTTTAGAATATCTAGAAGAAAGTAAATTACTGTCTGAAAATCAATTTGGTTTTAGAAAATTAAAGTCTGCAGAAGAAGCAGTAAGTATGTTTGTGGATTTCGTTGCAATAAACCTAGATTCTCATTCAAAAGTCTTAACTATATTTTTGGATCTTGCTAAGGTGTTTGATACAGTCTCTTTCCCAGAAATTTTGCAATTATGGAGAAATTAGGCATCAGAGGTACTCAACTTCAAATGCTAAGCGACTATCTACACAATCATACTCAGTGCACCACAGTTGATGATATTTTGAGCGACGATTTCTGTAGTACACGCGGAATTCCCCAAGGCTGTGTTCTGGGCCCTACCCTCTTTTTTATGCTATATTAATAACCTTTGTCAAATTAATATTCTTAAATGTAAGGTTATGTGCTATGCTGATGACACCTCACCTTTAAGGCCAATCTTGGGAAGAAGTTTATACTGTTACACAAACTGATTGTAATACAGTCCAACAATGGTTTGCTACACATTACCATCTTTAAATGCAACTAAAACTATTCCCTTTTGTATTAGCACACTAGCATTAAAAAGCCAAGAGAACTTAAGCTTATATGTCCATGATTGCTGTATACGACCGCTTAGTTCCTATACGTGTTGTTTTCTTGAATAGAACACGAACACAAAATACTTAGGTGTTATAATAGACCACATACTTTCTTCCGAAGAGCATATAAAACCACATTTCTTGCAGAGTTCCTAAACTAATATATATTTTTAAGCAGCTTCGTCATCTTGCTGATGTCAGTATCATAAAATTTGTTTATACTGCCTTATGTCAGTGTATTATTAACTATAGCATAACATCTTGGGCCGGGGTAACCCACATGATCATTAGGTTAGAGCATGCACAAACATTTATACTTAAAATATCTTATAAAAAACATAGATTATTTTCAACAGACAAACTTTACAAATTCTGCGAATGTCTCACCGTACATCAGCTCAATATTTTTGCAACAATATTATTAAATCATTCAAAAACGGAATATAATCAATTCAGTCTTATATTAAACAAAAACTTCCTGACATTGTCTGCACAATACCTGTTACCAATTTATTATTTGCTCGAAGATTTTTTAATTACAGAGGTCCAGTCCTATATAATCTTGCTAAAAAAGACAGATAAAAATTTTCTTAATCAAATGGCTTAAATCATTAGACTACGAACAGACCGAAAAACTATTTGAACGTATTGTTTAAATACACACGCACACAAAGAAAAACAACCAATGTCTGATATTATTAATTTAAATAAATAAATAACGTGATGTTTAGATTTGTTCCTTCATGAGGCATAGATAATATTTTATATTTATTTATTTAAATTTAAGTGAAGTAGTAAAACAATTACTTTAACAACACATTAATTCTTCTCGCTCACAAAACTTCAGAAATTAATACAATATTAGACAATGCTCAAATTTGCACATATAAGTTGATATACATATCTTTATATTTGTCATTGTTAGAAAATTTATTAGAAAATTCCAAACGCGCGCCTTCTTAAACCTCATAACTTAAACCTCATACTGTCAGAAATTTCGTTCCGACAACGTTACCCCCAGTTCGGGACTAGCCCCAACCGAATTCGTGCATTCCCTGACCAGCCAGACTTGTGCTTTTCATCGCAATGGACGAATATGAATTTTATTTCTAGCGCTGTTGTTCAACTGAGTGTACAAAAAAGAAAAATAAACGATAGCATAAAAAGTTAGTACAATTTTACTTGAAGCACTCTGAAATGAGAGCTTATCGTGATATTTTTTTTCAATTATTATCGCATGTTCTGCAGTGCAGCAACCAAATAATGCTTAACCGTTGCGCTATGTAGCCTTTGAATCCTACCTACCAAAAACCTGACTGACAAAAAACTGACCAAATTACAATCAAATCCGTCAAGTATGTTTATACATGAAAAGTGAAATCAACTGGATGCTTACTTATTTTCTTTTTATCTTCTATTATTGTTTTGCAAATTTCTGCCCAGGCTAAGTTCCCCATTATTTATATAGTTGTTATCACTATACTCTACCAAATCTAAGAAATACCTTTTGACGTTTCCCACTGACTTCCGCAATTCCACTGTTTCGCCACAGTTGCGAGTAAGTTTAGAAGATACCGGCATGTACAATGCTAGTATAGAGTCAGTGAGAACCATTTCAAAAGGAATTGGCTTCCAATACAATAAAATTGACAATTGCAAAATAATAATTATTTAGAGACATGAATGAAAAGAATAACATTTTTACGAGAAATTAAAAATATAGACCAATTAAGACAACGTTATATTCATTAATGAAACATGGTTAAACGCCAACCACATTGTACCACAAATATGGATGGTGCCGTCCGTCCATATTTGTGGCACAATGTGGACTTCGGAAGAAAGTCTGTGGTGCCTGTGGGAAAAGGTGGGCGCCTCATTATTTGCCATGTGGACCGCCGGAGGAGTGTTTTTAGAAAATACAACTAGTGATAACTGGGCCTAAGTGATAGAAACAAAACAAATAAAATTGTTATGGACGACTATGAAAGAGTAATTAATTTTAAATGCATTATAGAAAATCAAATAATAATAATAATTATTTATGTAAATAACAATGATAACGACGACAGCTCAACTAGTTGTAGTGAAAGTGATTAAATAAATTTGTTTTTAATCTAGTGCAGTGTTTAATTTATATAACTTTATCTCTATAAATTAGCAGTAAGTTATAAATATGAAAAGCTGATTAATGTTGTGTTTTGAGTTATCCCTTTTTAATTTAATCTGGTATTAATAAAACTGTAAATGTTTACCATCGTTAAAGAATCGAATATTGTAGGTACCGATTTTTCAGTTGGAATGCTTAGTCCAATAAATATGTCAGCTGTCAAAAGGTATATCTTAGATTTGGTGGATTATAATTTCATTGGCATAAATAATTACGGAGGGGAACTGTAATTATATGTTTAAATAATTCGGTCATTTTCATCCGTCTCTCACCTCCCATACGTGCGCATCACACGGTCGTATGCTCGATATTGATGCTAATTTTTAATAGTGTGCGCCGTTTACAAAACGTATGAAAAGCGCGCCTTCAGACATTCTGACAAGAACAATTTCTTACCTTGTGCCTTCCGGTGCGTGATGGTGTTTTTCTAAGTGAAAATTTCTTATAATGTGCGAAGAGGGCTGTGTTCAAAATATGTCTGTTGTTTACGGGTGATACTTAGATTAGGTATCATACTTGGATAAAAAAAGTAATTTTGATTAATCCTGATCTCTTCACCATTTGTAATATTTGCAGCAATTTTTGGTTTTTACAGGTGTAGAAAATAAATTAGTCTTGTGTTCGAGTAAAGACAAGTTTGTGCTAACGCAAGATTTATGCGTAATGTGTGGCGCTATTGGGACGGATTCCGAAGGCTGCCTTATTGCTTGTGCGCAATGCGGACAAACATATCACCCTTATTGTGTTAATATTAAGGTTAATATATTATAATTTCAGTTAGTAGTTATGTACTTTATTATTATATTATTAGTATATTAGTTATTAACAACATTTAATATTAATTATAATTTTTTGAAGTTACTCTTGAGTATACTATATACTTGAGAATACTATTAAATATTATTCCTCTCTATTGATATTTTAAGTTTAAGGAATTTGAGGATTTTAAAATTAACATAAAATAGAATTTTTTGTGTTCTTTATAAATTGTAAAAAATATGGTATTTGTTTAATAAAAGTTTAAAATTTTACATATAGTCACAAACATTACTCTGACGTCTTTATATAGATTTAAACTATGCGTTCATCATAATGAATGCAGTGTTGAACGTAGTTCGCCATAGATCAACACGAGCTACCGGCGGAACGGAGGAGAGTAGTAGACACACGCAGGCGTAAAATGGTTAATACATTGTTTTGTTAAGAGTGAGGTTCGTAGTAACAGACAATTGTTTTTGTGTTCGCAGATTTCTCCCTGCAAAAAATGACAGACAGTTCTGTATCGGGAAAAAACGCTATGGCTACTCCCCTCCGGTCCGCCGGTGGGCCGTGTTCCTCTATGTAGGTTGCTAGCTAGGTGGACATATGTAATATATAATGTGTCGGGACGCGGGACGCGTGGATGCGCAGGTGTCGCAGGTGATCGTGCGGCAGGGCTGGCGCTGCCTGGACTGCACGGTGTGCGAGGGCTGCGGCACGCGCGGCGACGAGGCGCTGCTGGTGCTGTGCGACGACTGCGACACGGCGTGGCACACGTACTGCGCGCGGCCGCAGCTGGGCGACGTGCCGCGCGGCGCCTGGCGCTGCGAGCGCTGCCGCCGCTGCCTCGTGTGCGGCACGCGCGACACGCGCGCCTGGCGCGACAACTACACCGGTACGTGCACAGCTCCTCACTGCTGCACTGCTCCACTGCGACACGGCGTGGCACACGTACTGCGCGCGGCCGCAGCTGGGCGACGTGCCGCGCGGCGCCTGGCGCTGCGAGCGCTGCCGCCGCTGCCTCGTGTGCGGCACGCGCGACACGCGCGCCTGGCGCGACAACTACACCGGTACGTGCACAGCTCCTCACTGCTGCACTGCTCCACTGCGACACGGCGTGGCACACGTACTGCGCGCGGCCGCAGCTGGGCGACGTGCCGCGCGGCGCCTGGCGCTGCGAGCGCTGCCGCCGCTGCCTCGTGTGCGGCACGCGCGACACGCGCGCCTGGCGCGACAACTACACCGGTACGTGCACAGCTCCTCACTGCGTCTGCTGGTGGCGCGCCTGCACTGCTGCACTGCTGCACTACATGGTGTGCGACCACAACACGCACACACATACACACAGCACAGCTCCTTACTCCGTATAGTAGCCGCTCGCCCGTCACTTAAACCAGGCCTCTGTCACTCTTGCTACCTGCGTGACATAATTACCTACAATCGCGAGCTGCCCCAGAGGTAGATCGCAGTCGGGGCTAGCGCGATCTAGGCGATTGAATGTTAAAGTTTTTTAACGCTGTTTACGTAAATAATTTTTTGTAAATACTCGTCGAAATAGTTTTTGTTTAGTGTTTAGTATATTTAATTATAGGATAAAATAGTTGAAAAAGTTTTAATGTAATTTAAGAATAATATATAAGTATATTATCTATCTATTTGATAAATTATAATGGCAAAACGTCATTCCTACCATAATTGTTTCGGGGATGAATGCTTAATGAGCAATTAAAAGAATTCAGATATATCATTTTTTGAGTGAGTTACCGAATGATAATGAAAGGTAAATTAATTTTTTTTTTGGTAGATAGGTACTTATAGCGAAAAAATAATTAAGTAATAATTTAACTACAGAAGTAATACCTAAGTACTTTATTACAAAACTTAGTTGAAATTTACTTCACTACCCAAGTACCTACTTAAATACCTATACTCGTCTTTGTAATTAAAATATTTTAAGTTATAATAGCACAAAATACTGAAATTAAAACTTTGTTTACAAGATTTTGAACTAAGTAGATTACGATCCTATTTCTGTTAGGAATCGTATTTCGGGTTTTTTGCATGTGCCGAATTGCATGAGTTGGGCATCACAGAACTCACATAGTAGATAATATGGTCGAATATAGTCAGCATAGGTACTTTACCTAAGTAACTTACCATTTCACAATGTATTTTTTTACTCTTTATTAACAGCCCTTAGCAACCACGGAAAATCCGTTGTGACGTAGTAAGGAGAAAAGATGCAAAGTAATACGGACACTACTAGTAATACGGATAGTTTTATTTAGCTTGCGTGCGCGATTTATGTGATTAATAATAATATGTAGGCTATTAAAACGTCGGCAAGCAGTCAACATCAAGAGTGCAACTTCTGTACGTAGTACTATTATTTATTATAACTTAAAAACTGCTGCAAGGATCTTTTTCTACTTTTACTAAATGTTAAAAGTGACTAATAATTGTTGCAAGAATACAATTTGATTTAAAAATCTATTATATTGCATCCAATTTCGTGGAAATAGGATCTCTAACGTTAACAAGTTACAGAACAATATTTATTATTCGAATTCAATTCTCCTTAGTTTCTAAGTTTATAATTTTCCTTTTTTGTCAATTGAATTTGACAAATGCTACCCGATAATAAGTGCTTACAATAACCCATTGTCACTTTTAGCCAACTTCAAATAAAAAAGTACAATGTCACCCATACAAACTAAGATAGAATATTGGTTACTGCAGAAATTGGTATGTAAGTAATACCAATACCTAGTTTCCCACTTAAATGCACGGTACAATTATTTTGCTATTCATTTTAAGATGGAAATTAATAAAACTTTGTTTTTTTTTTTTATCGCAGAATGCGCCCCTTGTGCTTCGTTAGTGATGTGCTGCGTGTGCTCGGAACCTTACTCAGATGGCGAGTTGATTATACAATGCGAGACGTGTCGCCGTTGGCTACATGCTTCCTGCGACTCAATACGTAATGAAAACGATGCTGAGATATGCTGTCGTGCAGGGTGCGTTTCATTTTTAAATTTTATTGTTACATTGAAATTATATTTACTATAAAAGTTATCTGTTAAAAGCTTGTCACTGTGTCTGGCCTTTGTTTTATGGAAATTATAAAATTTTATATGGATTATTATTCTAAATATTTTAAATTCTGGTAGGCTTGTAGCAGGTAATGATAATTGAGTTAATTAATGCAAATGACCAATTAACCCCATCATAGTTTCTTGTTATTAAATACATTTAATTTGTATATTTGTAAATTATAAAAATCTAATAATATTATAATTGAAAATTGACTAAGTGTTGAAATACTATTAAAAGTATGGAATTGATAATATGATAGTAGACAGACACAGAAACAGTTGTATGTTCTGCATAAACAAGCTACTCTGTAATTGCGGTGTAAGAGAATCCATTACTCATAACATCTTGCGGGTGTCATAAAATACGAAAAATATGAATCAATAAATGACTGAACGATACTGCTGCTCTTTTTCATAGTGTGACTAGAAAATTGTGGATCAGGGTTGACAATACACCCACATTTCTATTTTTATACGAAGACGATGTTGCATCCACTTACCACCAGGTTGACTATGCGCTCGTTTATAACCCTTACTAGTTGGTACCCGGCGCATTGCAGCCGCAGAAAAAATAATTGTGGAAATATTGTTTTAAATTTGGAAGAGTTATATTGCTTAATTAGGAATGTTAATTCATAAAACATTAATTGAAGTTGAATGATATATAATTTTCAAATAAATTTGTCGGTACCATACGCGCGCTAACCTACTGTAAATTAATTGTACTATTCCAATAACCTTCGCTGAAGTGCAAGCAATAAGTTGACAAAATTTTACCGTAATCTGACGAACGGTATGGCATAAAATACGAACAAACAAAAATAAATGTTTATATATTAGATTGTATTTAAACGAACGTGCGGTGCAGGTACAAGTGCGTGATGTGCCGCGGGCGCGAGGTGCCGCCGCCGCACGTGGCGCAGGTGGCGGCGGCGCAGGCGGCGGCGGCGGCGGGCGGCGCGGCGGGCGCGGGCGCGGGGGGCGCACGTAGCAGCGCCGCGCCGCGCCTCACCGCGCAGGCGCTGGGGCTGGCGGGCGAGTACTACGTGGACGACGTGTGCCTGTCGCAGCGCGGCGCGCACCACATGAAGCAGCTCGAGGCCGACATGGGCATCACGCACACGCGCCGCAAGCGACGCTTCAAGAACGACAACCAAGACAAGGACGCCGGTGAGACGCCGCCCCGCAACCTTTTATGTACCGCACACACAATCGGACCATAACACACCCTACATTATTGTTCATAATTCATTAACTTTAGATTTTTAAAACATTGTAAAACTGTAAGTTTAACAGTGCATATGCAACAAAAATTTTATAAGTAGTACCAAATGTTCTCTTTTATAAGTAGTACCTAAATACTCTACCCTTTATAAAAATAAATATAAGCTTAATTTATAAAAATAATTAAATATTTAAAAACCTCCTCAAATAACGAGACTCCGCAACAAAGACTTACTTATAACTTCCTTTTTCCCTTATATTTACCAAGAAATACTGAAACACAGTAAGATATAAATATTTTGTCTTATTTATATTAACTAATATTATATTTCGATCATATCATCATCATAACTTAATAAACAATACAGTTAAAACATAAGCAGAGTCTAACTTGAATTTTTCTGTGTTGGTCGCTGGCTTTATGGACTAGAAATAATGGCATCTATTGAAACAGTGGTTCAGAATGCTGACAACGAGTTGGCTGAGGATTCCAAACCAGACAGCACCGCTGAAGTGAAAGATGAACCTGGTATGTATGCATTTATGCTGTTTAAATATTTAATTCTTTATTGGACATAGAGAAACCCAAAAAAGGATTGATATATTTACAATATTACCTATATGTTGATTGATATCTGGTCTAGTTAACTGATATATGGTGTAATATAACATATTATTCACGTTAATGTCTCTAATTTGTTATTTTTTTTATTATTCTGAATTTGCTCATGTGCCAAAACATTATTAATTAGATGAATATTTTGTTGCTACCTAACATATGTCTAGGAGAGTTATGTTTTTCACCAATACTGTGTTCAGAGATATTTTATTATAGATTTAGGAATTATTTATTATAGATACGATATGTTTTACATAAATCTTCAAATATAATGATTTTTTTGTAACAATAGATTTTAATAATAGTTCTTATATCCTTTATGGCAATTTATTGGGGATGGCTATGTTGTGTGACTTGTAATGTGCTGTTATAGTAAATAGTAGTAGTACATCCTTTATTACACAACAAGGCAAGGAAGAAGAAGAAGAAAAAACTTATGCATAATTTCCTTTGTTATTGATTAATTGCTGACAACACTAGAAGCTTACTAACTCAGAAAAGAGTTGATTTTTTTTTTCTTTTTTTGATTTCAATCAATAACACTTCCAATAATCTTCTTTCGTACACGAATCAGTTGTTCTTACATATCAAGTGTATCCGCACATCAATCTCTTCAGTTAACCAAAACAGCCATAGTCCAGGGAAATGACAATCGGCAAATAAAGGAATCTGTACCAAACTTGCAAATTATTTTTTTAAATCTTTGACTACATTATTTTTGTCCAATCATTAAATACATTTTTGCATTTCTTATGCAGTCGGGTAACACACTAATACTAATTGTGTGCCATTGTAATCTCTAATGACATCGGCAGCTTCCGCTCCCTCTCGTAACCATGGAACGCCATGACATGTGGCGGTGCTTTTTAACACTTGCTAGCCAGAATCTTTCCTGATTTCAGTCCAGATGTGTTTTCAAGGACACCCAAATCTCATTGATGCCCAGAGTTCTTTTGGGCATGCCTCATTGCATGTAATGCTCTGGCAAGTTACATTTGACAGCTAATAAGCAATGTTCAGTGTGTCCACACTGAACAAAAAGACCTTACCAAGTTTTTTGTCCAGATAAGGAATCACTGTTAAAATAATACAAACAGAATTAATTGGTTAAGCTAACTGCTGTAGTTTGTTACTTATGTAGGCGCTAGGCATAGAATATTACTTTTTCATTTAAAGTTTTTTTCTATAAAACTAAATCAGGAATTCAACATTTATCAGGTGTCATATAATATTTTTTTTATAGAATAAGGGTGACAAACGAGCACACAGGCCACCTGGTGGTAAGTGGTTGCTGTGGCCCATAGACATCTACATCTATCTTCGTTTGCGATTAAAATGCAGATGCGTTATCACCCGTGAGGACTAAGATAGAATGCCTCTTTTTAAGTAAAAAGGGTCTCCGGTTCTCTACACTCACCACACGAAATTCAGCAGCATTAAGCTGCTATTTTACGCTGGTATTCTGTGAGAGCGTGGTCCTTCCCTGGTCGAGCCGGGCTATTCGTGCTACAACTATAATATCAATATAGCTGCAGAATGGCTCTACCATGTATAAAATATTTTTACAAAACATTATAAATACGAGTAAATTTAGGTAAATTTCGATATTTTATATTTTACTCCAGGTTTGTCATCAAACACAAATCACAAAGAGGGCACGCTTTGGAATGTGGCAAACGACGGCCCGCCACCCGAAGGCTTTACAGTATATACTATAGAATCTGGACTGACGGTTTTACGCAGAAAGCGCCAGAGAAACCTTAACAAGCTTGGTATAGGCGGCTTCGTAGTTAGGCAGAGACAGACAACCGTAAAAGCACAAGCCGACGAGGAGAAGGATGGAGATGGCACTCAGGCGTCTGGAGGTAAGCTAACTTTTCCTCGCTCTTATTCAAGATAATTAGAATATAACTTTAAGAAATATGATCTAAATGTATTTATTGTTATCTAGAATCACCGAGTAACAAGCGAAAGCCACGTCGGAAACCACGTTCGAAGTTGATGGAACAGTTTCCATCTTACATGCAAGAAGCGTTTTTCGGAAAAGAGTTACTAGAGCCCGTCAAGCCAGCTGTTAGTTCTACTGGTTAGTTCCTTTATAATTCGTTTTTAACAATAAGTCTATTTTTCTTTACATCATTGCTTTATCTCAAATAAGTATTCGGAGTTTTAGGTTTATATTTATTTTGTCAACGTTATATTCCAATTAATATAATTTGTGATTGCGATAAACAAAATTAAATGTAATATTCTATAGTTTCGTTTTAAATTATTGTTAATTACAGGCAATAATCCTTCAGAAAGTCCCGGTGGGTCAGTGCGTGCTACTACACCGGAGGGCTACCGAGAGCTGCGCGACTTCAAGCTTGATTTAGAGAATTCAGACAGTGAAGGCGAGGATGTCCTTGCCGCTTTAACTACTTTCAACGACAACGACACTTCATTTGTTATTTCTCTAAATACGGTTTGTGAAACGAAATTTCCATAACTAAAGATCATATTTTCATATTGTCAAGCGTTTTTGGTGATTGGGCTTTTCAAATACAGTACGCATCCGAAGAAGATACCTCTCGAGCTGTAGATATTTCATGCCCTAATAATATCAATTACACTTTAGATTACTAGGGGCTTTTTGTATTTATTTATCGTAAATAAATAAATAAATAAATAACTAGGTCATGTTTTAAATGCGAATGTGTAGCGTCTTCACGCCCCAACGCATTATTGTCAAAATTATTGTCAAAATTAGCGCAGGGATAGTTTGAAGGAGAGAAGAGGATAGGTTAAAGAGCAATGGCAGAAAAATAGTTACAAAAATTATAGCGTCTAGAAATAAGTTGTATATAAAATGAGTTTTATTATTTTTCTATGATTTTTCAAATAAAAATGTATTTTAATTAAAGCCACAGAAAAAAAAAACATTTTTGGGAATATCAAATGACTTATATCATTTTACTCTATTCAAATGTTGCCATTTAGTATATTCATACTATTTTCGTATACACTTTGTAGCACTATCAACACAACACACAAAATATTTTTATATTAAGTTATTATTAGTAATAACTGTACTATCAGTAAAAACAAAAATAAAAGCGATATGGCTGAGAATAAGTCTCTTACAAAGAATTTCCTTCAATAATACATTATCTCAATCATAGTACTATGTAACAATTCCATTTAATGTTATGCCAACACTAGCTAAAATAAAATGTCACTGTTTTTTTACTGGCTTTACGGCTCTGGGTTCTAGCACTTCTGAGAATGACATTCTATGGTACAAAAGCCCTGGAGCCATGCCAGAAATATACATTTATAGTATGCAAATATATAATAGAGATACAATAATCTAAAAACTCTCAATTATGTATTATGTATTAAGCTAACATCAAACAACCACAGGAAGCATGACTTTTTCCAAGTGACATAGGACATAACCTAAAAAGGTTAAAACGTAAATATCTTTTTTTTGACGCCTTCTCAATACAAAATTCTTTGACAGTGTTATTAAGGGACTGACGCTTAACATTTTAAGATATTTTTGGTATATAGACGCTACCATTTCTTCTCAACTAATTTTATGTATGAAAGTCTGCCATTGCTCTTTAGGTTACTAGAATACTTTTAATTTTTGATCTCCTTAATTGGAATTAGTAGTTAGTATTAACAAGAATATAATCGAAGGTTTCGATACTCATTCTGGTATACTCGAAAAATTTTTCTGGATACATTCTGTACTTCTCGTACTTCTTGTGGAATACAGAATATAGAATGGATGGATGATGGTTTTACTTCATATATTTCTATTTTACAGGAAGAAATAGAGCTCCTGAATTCCTTAAAACCAAAAGAAGAAAAAGATGATTCATCTACTAGCTTGAACTCTGATGGTACTGCAAAAATTAAACTTGAAAATCCCGAGGATGGGCATTTAAAACATACTGAGGATTCTACAGCATTGAAGAATGCAATTCTTGGTCCACAAACAAATGAATCTGAACAACCTTCGACGGCTACACCAGAAAATATACCTACAGTACACAGCACCAAAACTGAAACTGTCAGTAGTGGTAAGGTTATAATATAAAATGTCACTCTGCATTAAACTAGAAACAGTCCTGATAAACAATGACCTCATAAATAACAACGCAATCAAGCTCAATACTAACATGTTTTAGAATGAGATAAAACTTATTCTATATAAAGATATATGTTAGTAAAATATAAATAAAATGTATTTTTAACACACATGAAATGTATGAGTCAGCCACACATTCACCTGATCAAAGCCAATGTACTCATAGTTAGTGTTATATAAACATATTTAATGACAACGGTTGACTCATTACAAAACTACCCCATATTCACAGTCACCTCACCCTGCTCACAATATCACAGCCTTACTACCAACAACACAAATTTCATGATTAAGAAAATACCTGGCCTGATCTTATTGACTTTGATTGAAGCTATCGATACGTATTTGCAGTGTTTTAACGGCTTTTAAATTCATTATAAGGTTTTAATGAACCTAGGCACAATGCATTATTAAATTTATTTAAATTATAATTTAAGTTTTATTTGGTAATTTTATTCTAAATTTTTTATAATATTTTCAGAAACGGGTGGATCATCTCAAGGATCAACAATTTCACCCAAAGACGACTTATCGCTATTGGGAGTGAACCTGGACGCGATGGTAAGGGACACGCTGCCTGATATGGATGGCAATGATGTTGATGAGATATTTAAAGGCGTGCTGACTGATGACTCTCAGGTGAGGCTGTTTTTATTAGTTTTATTTTGTACTTTAAAACAATCTCCTAGAAATGAATATTCAAACATAATATGCATAAAAACACCTAAATCCAGTGTGCATTATACATCGATGATAAGTTTAAGAGGATTATTGATTTTATTAAGATTACAAAATGTATATTGTCTTAGGAGTCTCAGGAATCATCTGTATCCTATGTGAACTCTATGGCAAGCACGCCATACTCCCAGCAAAGGCAACAGTTGCAAAGTCCTATGGATTATGCATCACCATACCACACTGAATTCGGTAGCAGGTAACTATACAATTACATTCCATTTAATAATCTTTTCGTTGAGTATTACAATATTTTATCTTATATTTTAATCCATCTTGATGGTTTTTAGAAAAATGGTTTTTGAGGAAGAGTATTTTATATCAGGATAGTAGAGAAATGTTTGTTTTGTAATCATCTTGTTGTGTTATCTTACACAACTCTGGTGCATTGTAAGAGTGTGTTTTAAAAAAGGGGTGGGTGGATGTGATTTGGTTTTCTATCAACTTCCCATTTCGTTTTCGTTAAAAGATGTTTCCAAGCTACTGAACTGTAAAAGATACAGTATTAATTCCAGTGGTGAGTATGTCACTCACCATTGATTTGCTGACGATATAGTCATTATTATAGTAGAATTGTAGAAGGTTGAAGGACACTGCTCAATGACTTGAATAGTGTTTCCCAACAGATAGGTCTTAAGATGAACAAAGACAAGACAAAGGTCATGTGTAACATCCATATCACATCTATGCTTGTTTGATATACAACAAATTATCCCACTAGGTAATTTTAACTTTAACCGAGAGGTCAAACATCGGATTCAACTCAGATGGGTATCATTCGGGAGGAGATGTGTAATACATCTTATTGTCATATATAATTTATAACATGAAAACAAAGAGTGTACAACAAGTGTGTGTTGTGTGCTGTAATGACATATGGATTTAAAACATTATTTATTGTTGGCTGTATGGTAAATCTCAAGTTGCTTGGCCACTTATAAGTTTTTCTGCATGATAATCTTCATAATAAGCATAATATATGCATTAGAACCAGAGCGGCGCTACTTTGGAATGAGTTGATGATATTTGACAGATTTCATTCCGGAGTTTTATTCTGAAATATTAGTGTATATTAATTAGATTAGAAATGGATAAACCAAACTGTGGATATTAAAATAAATGTGTAAAATTTAAAGAATCAGAACATAATACACTAGAAACCTGAAAAACTTATATTTGAAACGCAACTTTTAAAAGTAAATGATACTGACCATTTTCGTAATAAATAAAATCAAATCAGTACCTACCAGCGATATCTGACCTTCTTGTTAGACCTCATTGTGAGTATTGGTTCGGCAGCAGCAACAGTGCGCTGAGCCCGCTGTTCTCGGAGTGCGGGTCGGGCGGCTGGGGCGAGCAGGCGGCCGCGCCGCCGCCCTCCTACAACCAGCGCAGCGCCGACAAGATGCGCGCCGACGAGAGTGAGTGTCCCTCGCCCCCACGCCCTCCTGTAGTGCAGCTGTCCTCGCAGTGCGGGTCGGGCGGCTGGGGCGAGCAGGCGGCCGCGCCGCCGCCCTCCTACAACCAGCGCAGCGCCGACAAGATGCGCGCCGACGAGAGTGAGTGTCCCTCGCCCCCACGCCCTCCTGTAGTGCAGCTGTCCTCGCAGTGCGGGTCGGGCGGCTGGGGCGAGCAGGCGGCCGCGCCGCCGCCCTCCTACAACCAGCGCAGCGCCGACAAGATGCGCGCCGACGAGAGTGAGTGTCCCTCGCCCCCACGCCCTCCTGTAGTGCAGCTGTCCTCGCAGTGCGGGTCGGGCGGCTGGGGCGAGCAGGCGGCCGCGCCGCCGCCCTCCTACAACCAGCGCAGCGCCGACAAGTTGCGCGCCGACGAGAGTGAGTGTCCCTCGCCCCCACGCCCTCCTGTAGTGCAGCTGTCCTCGCAGTGCGGGTCGGGCGGCTGGGGCGAGCAGGCGGCCGCGCCGCCGCCCTCCTACAACCAGCGCAGCGCCGACAAGATGCGCGCCGACGAGAGTGAGTGTCCCTCGCCCCCACGCCCTCCTGTAGTGCAGCTGTCCTCGCAGTGCGGGTCGGGCGGCTGGGGCGAGCAGGCGGCCGCGCCGCCGCCCTCCTACAACCAGCGCAGCGCCGACAAGATGCGCGCCGACGAGAGTGAGTGTCCCTCGCCCCCACGCCCTCCTGTAGTGCAGCTGTCCTCGCAGTGCGGGTCGGGCGGCTGGGGCGAGCAGGCGGCCGCGCCGCCGCCCTCCTACAACCAGCGCAGCGCCGACAAGATGCGCGCCGACGAGAGTGAGTGTCCCTCGCCCCCACGCCCTCCTGTAGTGCAGCTGTCCTCGCAGTGCGGGTCGGGCGGCTGGGGCGAGCAGGCGGCCGCGCCGCCGCCCTCCTACAACCAGCGCAGCGCCGACAAGATGCGCGCCGACGAGAGTGAGTGTCCCTCGCCCCCACGCCCTCCTGTAGTGCAGCTGTCCTCGCAGTGCGGGTCGGGCGGCTGGGGCGAGCAGGCGGCCGCGCCGCCGCCCTCCTACAACCAGCGCAGCGCCGACAAGATGCGCGCCGACGAGAGTGAGTGTCCCTCGCCCCCACGCCCTCCTGTAGTGCAGCTGTCCTCGCAGTGCGGGTCGGGCGGCTGGGGCGAGCAGGCGGCCGCGCCGCCGCCCTCCTACAACCAGCGCAGCGCCGACAAGATGCGCGCCGACGAGAGTGAGTGTCCCTCGCCCCCACGCCCTCCTGTAGTGCAGCTGTCCTCGCAGTGCGGGTCGGGCGGCTGGGGCGAGCAGGCGGCCGCGCCGCCGCCCTCCTACAACCAGCGCAGCGCCGACAAGATGCGCGCCGACGAGAGTGAGTGTCCCTCGCCCCCACGCCCTCCTGTAGTGCAGCTGTCCTCGCAGTGCGGGTCGGGCGGCTGGGGCGAGCAGGCGGCCGCGCCGCCGCCCTCCTACAACCAGCGCAGCGCCGACAAGATGCGCGCCGACGAGAGTGAGTGTCCCTCGCCCCCACGCCCTCCTGTAGTGCAGCTGTCCTCGCAGTGCGGGTCGGGCGGCTGGGGCGAGCAGGCGGCCGCGCCGCCGCCCTCCTACAACCAGCGCAGCGCCGACAAGATGCGCGCCGACGAGAGTGAGTGTCCCTCGCCCCCACGCCCTCCTGTAGTGCAGCTGTCCTCGCAGTGCGGGTCGGGCGGCTGGGGCGAGCAGGCGGCCGCGCCGCCGCCCTCCTACAACCAGCGCAGCGCCGACAAGATGCGCGCCGACGAGAGTGAGTGTCCCTCGCCCCCACGCCCTCCTGTAGTGCAGCTGTTCTCGCAGTGCGGGTCGCACACAGCGTTTTATATAACTAACTTTTACCCGTGACTTCGTCGAGTTCGAGTTTAATAATCAAGAAAGTATCATCAGCAAATAATACTATATCATGAGTATCCCCTACAAGGGAAGGTAAGTCATTAATATACACTAGAAACAGGTATGGGCCGAGAATCGAGCCCTGAGGGACAACCATTAGTACAGGTGACCCGGAAGAACTTTTACCATTGATAATAACTTTCTGCATTCTATTACTTAAATATGAAATAATAAGTTAAAGTGTGTTCTTGACACCATAGTACTGTAGCTTCCTGATTAATGTCGCATGGTGAACACAGTCGAAGGCCTTGGAAAGGTCACAAAATATACCCAAAGCATCCTCTGAATTCTCCCATGCACAAAAAAAATTTAATAAGCTCAACTCCAGCGTCAGTTGTCGAGCGACCTCTTGTAAAACCGAATTGATTTTTATGTAGCAATTTATTAATAGAAACATCATCAGATCTAAAATTATTTTTTCAAAAATTTTACTAAATGTTCGTAGTACAGAAATTGGTCTAAAATTGGCGGGGTCTAATGTACTACCAGATTTAAATAAAAGTAATGACTTTACTATGTTTCATTAAATCAGAAAACACACCAGATTCGACGTTTGTATTAAATATAGTGGCTAGATATGGTGCTATTATGTCTATTATAGATAAAATAACTTTAATGGAATTCCCCTATAAGTCTGCCGTTTTCTTAATATCAATAGTTTTAAAATATTTAACGATATCTTTTGGCAATACTCTATGGAATTTAAAAGTATTTGAACAAGCCTTTACATTTTGTTTGAGCAACGATTCGGCGACAGTAGGAGAGGAATTTAATGATTTTGTTGTCAAAAAAGGAACATCAGTAAAATGTTTCTCAAAAGCCATGGCAACTTCTTGATCAGATCGCGTTAAATTATTGTTAATATTCAATTGAAAATCCGAGTTGCGCGGTTTGACCCTGCCCGTTTCAATATTTATTATTCTCCAGGTCATTTTAATTTTGTCGGTAGCAGTTTTAATTTTGTTGGTTAAATGTAAAGCCTTAGGAGTGGAGCACACTTTTTTAAATATTTTAGAATGCATAATCTCTAAATATAACACTACTACTATTATATGATCTTTCATCATAAAGCTCGTATAACCTTCGCCTACTTTTATAAATTTCTACTGTTTATATAGGTTCATCACAATTCGTTCAGCCATATCTGAGATTAACCTGGACTCAGAGATAGACAAGCACACAGATAGACAAAAATATATGAGCTATTCATATCGTAATAGCATGCCAATAAATTCCCTAACTAACTAACAAGGCATTTATTTCGATATCATGGACTTACACTTCATTTTTATTTATGTGTAGAGAGTGTATATAGATAGATAATCCAAATTCTATAATTAGAAATATTCCAAATTTGAGTAAAACCTACCTTTTTCTTTAGGCTTAGGATCTGCAGCAACGATTTCCGCGGTTCTCTACGCAAACACTAATCATCCTGAATGGAAAACCGAGTTTCCTAACTGGGTTGACCGATGCAAGCAGATACTTAAAAAATGGCGCGCTCTGCCCTCTGAACAAAAGGCACCTTACCTCCAGCGTGCTAGAGACAACCGAAGTGCGATACGAATGAAGAAAGCGCAACAGGTAAGTCTTGCTTTTTATGCGTGTAAGACGTGTGTGCTAACCCAACTCACTTACCACTGTGTTTACAATGTGTGCCTTCACAATCCTATTATATACGATTGTTCATAATATCTCCAAATATTTGTCAAACAAGATACCTTTACAAATAATGAGTAAAATTTTTGATTCAATTTAACATCACGTAAATAATATATTTTGTTTGCATTCAAATATTTTGGTAAGATAAAGCTATGATATCATTTTAATGCGCATACCTTTGGCAGTAATGAATTTCATTCCCTTTAGGTAACACTATAGCATAAATATCTATAAGCAACACATTTTTATAAGAAAAGGTATTCACAGTGAAATTGACATTACCGCGGAGGCTGTAGATTCTATCGCTTGTTTCAGCAAAATGCACTTGTAAATAAGACATATATGCAACAATACTAAAATTACGTCTATTTATATTTATATTATACAATTATTTACTTATAATTTGGAAGGAAAAGTAAAAAATATGATATTGTGTGTGTAATTGAGGCAAAGTGTAGTTAAAATATTTAAAAAAAAATTATATATTTTTTTATACTAGAGAATCGTAGAAACATATAAGTTTATCATATACTCAAAAGAGTAATTCTTATATGTATATATTTGGGTTTTCAAAAACTGCTCGAGATAAAATTTTGTATTTATGTAATGGTTTTATTATCTTAGTTTATTTAGATAGTTGTCATCCCTGATAAATCTTTTTTTTTTTTAAGTGAAAACTTCTTTAGCCGCGTTGAGCGATTTTTGGTAAGGAAAAATCTTATAGGTTTGGCATCACCGATGACCTTGACATGCTTATGACGCCTTTATTCTTATTACACACCTTCAAACGTGCTGAATGCTCATCTACTACGGTGCGATTTTTTTTAATTCTAAGGGTATGCGTTTTGACTCCGTGACAAGTGCATACTAGAGTAAATCCACGTTTAGATAAGATTTTCAGTGCGGTCTGAGATTCAATTAAATATGTTTTATTTCAAAATTATTGCGTCTCAAGACTTATGAACGCGCGAGGTATTTTTAGTTATAGTAAAATGTAAAGCTGAAATTATTTAAAGCGAAAGGATCTACAGTACATTTGTTCACTTTTCATTTCTATCATCTCTCAATTATAGTATTAAAATGCAATAACTTCAGAACGTGTAGTAAAATTAGTTTTAAAAAAAAGCGAAATGTAAACTATTCTTAGATATTTTCAATTTAGTGGTGTGCTAGTGTTTTAATACTGTTGATTAATTGAGTGGCATTTACTTACTGGATGGAATATAGTTGTTAGATGGAATATAAACGAGTAAGAATGTATAAGTCATTTTGCATTCAATTTTTAACTCAAATTTGAGATGAATTACATTGAGATAGATATTTTTATTAATTGTGTTATTCAAAAGGATATAAAATTATTTACGAATACCCAGACAAACATAACATAATATAAAACATTTAAAAGAGACTTGTAGATATAATCAGTTTTGTAAAGCGTCTTCTCTATCTTATGAAGTACTAAGTCTAGTTTTTTATTGAAAGCTCATAAAGTGTATAATATGTTGAAATACTAAAAAGAAAATGAGAGAACATCATACATTCAATGTAGTTTTTAAGGCGCCATGTGTAAAGTTTACGGCCGTGTACCAATCATTACACGATGTATATACCATGATGGGGATGCACGATATTTTAATTGACATGTTTTTTGTTTGGTTAGAAATTATTCATATCATATGCTCCTTAATCGATTCTCAGATCAGATTGCATCCTATCGAATTGATACCAGAAGGATGCAATAACATTTCTTAGTTAATATCTCTTTATTACACTCTGTAAATAGGTATCATACGCTCTACAGTGCCAATTTATAACGTCAATACTTTTGAATAACAGTACCAGAATTAGTTGTAATGTTTAGCCAGATATTAATTGGATTTAATTTTTGAAGCCAAAATTGAAATAAATAAAATAGCGGCACATTAACATACTGTAGATACCAGTAAAAAATTGTTAAATAAGGTGGAAGCTTAATAGGTCTTTACCTATGAAATTGCCGTTCTGTAGTACTGGCCATTGCAAATTAAAATAGTTTCTGTTTGGCTAAGAATTCCAATTTCAAATTAATTTTATTTAAAAAACATGGAATTCTTTTTCAAAATCATTTGTTTATTGATTAGCGTTATGTTTTCATCGCATTTAAATATTTTTAGTAATCCCATGATGACTAAAAATATTCAAATGCGATGAAAACAATGTTAAGAATTCGAGTAATTATGGAATATGAGTACCGTCGTGGCAATAACGTGTCACAAGCGGCATGCAACATCAACGACGTTAACGGGGCGAATACTACAAACTGTTGCTGGCTTGCTCGCTTTCGTTCTGGAAGTTTCGACCTGAAAAATGAACCCCGTGGTCGTCTAAAAACGGCTATTGTGGAAGCTGATGATACTCAATCTATGGCTGAATTAGCAACAGCTTTCGATGTTAGCATCAAAACAATATAGGTCCCTTTGCGTCAAAAGCTCGACAAATGGGTGCCCCACGAACTCAATGATCGCAAGCGCGAAGTACGCATTGAGACGTGTCTTGTACTGCTCAACAGGCGCACAAACGTAGGAATTTTGAACTGCATTATTACCTGCGACTAAAAATGTGTTCTGTTTGACAATCGAAAGCGCTAAGCAAGTTGGTTGTATCCTGGTTCACCACCTAAACAATGCCCTGAACGAAAACTTACCCTTAGAAAAGTGAAGTAACTGTTTGTTGGTCTAACGCCGATGTGATTCATCACAGTTTCTTAATAAAGGGGTAAGCAGTACTGCAGATGTGTACTGCAAAGGACTGAACACAATGATGGAGAAGCTTGCACGTCTCCAACCATCTTTGGTCAATTGATCGTCTCCATTGCTCCTGCACGATAATGTGCGACCTAATACTGCACAACAGACGGTCTCTAAGTTACAAGAGCTGGGGTTGGAAGCTTTCCGTCATCCGCCGTACTCATCAGACCACCAGGCTTACAACACTTCTATTTTTTTCCAGAATTGTGATAACTTTTTGGTGGGAATAATATTCAATACTTGAGAGGCAGTACAAAATGTCTTTGAAGAATTTGTTGCCTCCCTTTCAGCTGATTTCTTCAAAAAGTTCATCAATTAACTGCCACTGTGCTGACAAGGTTGCATCGATTGCTTGGGTGATTACTTTGATTAATAGAAATAATAAATATAGAAAAAAAAATACGTTAACTTATTTCATAAAAACGGTAATTTCATAGATAAAGCACAGTTTCATAGATATGTGATCTATTTGATTTGATTTCTTAAACACTTGAATCAATGTTTGTCAAACTAGAATTATTACGTGTATCCCCCTACACAATAACTATATGTGATCTATTCGTTTCGATTTCTTAGTCACTTGAATCAATGTTTGTCAAACGAGAATCATTACGTGCATCTCTACACAATGACATCATTAATACTTTTAAGGTTTTATTTATTATGTAAAACTTTTTTTTTGTTATTTTCGTTATAGCAAATAAAATATTTTTATTAGGTAAATGCAGAAGTATTTGAATTATAAAGCAAAAACTTTTGTATTGTTTCTTAAAGTGAATTGTAAATATACTTATTTTATACCTTTTATACTATTTAAATTTTTAAATTGTAGAAAAAAGGCAGGGTATATTTTAAGCTTTTATTATAAATATTTTATAAAAATTGTTAAGAGTGGGTATAAAATATTAGTAAAGTGGCATAAGTAATCGGACGTGGGTTATGCCTCGTATGTTGGAATATACAACGAGACGAGCGCATCGAGCGTCGCGAGATTTTAAGAGTTGCGTGCGCAACAGAGCACGAGCGGCGTGGAGAGCGAGGGCACGAGCGGCGCGGCGAGCGGGGCCGGCGCCACCGGGGCGGCGAGCGGCGCGGGGGCGGCGGGGGCGGCGGGGGCTGCGCCTGCGCCTGCGCCCGCAAGCGTCGCCAGCGCGCCGGCCGCGGGCCCGCCGGTGCGCGCGCCCAACGTCACGGTGACGGCGGACGGGCTCCTGGAGGCCGACGCGCACATCCGCGTGCTCACGCCGTCCGAGATCATGCGCACGCTGCCGCGCCTCGCGCACGCACACACGGTACCGCGCCCGCACGCACTCCGCTCGCACACGCTCCTCCGCCCCACGCCCCACGCCCCACGCCCGCCCCGCCCGCAGACACACACACACACACACACACACACACCGCATTTACCAATCGCGCGCGCATACAGAATCTATGACGAAAAATACTGGTTTTAAATATTGCTTCCATATTCATAAATTCTTATATTTGATTAATTCAGAAACAATGTTCTTTGCACAAATAATTCAATTAAAAATGTTTATTTTATGGTCATATTTTGTCGTGTGTACCGTAAATAATAAATCCACAATGCCACATTTGATTGATGTTAATTTACAAAAATCTGCAACTCCACTGTGATTAAATATATTATTATTATACTAAATAAAGTATTCAATATATCTATGATCTATGAATTTTTTGGTGTCAGTACGAAAGTAAAGTTGTAAGCAAACGCATTCGTATTCTTATTATAAGCACATAGTTCTCATACATAAAATATATTAAAATATAAAAGTACAAGATATGAGCTACCTCGAAGTAGAATGTCCGCCTATAAAGTTTTCATTATGTAGCCACCAACATTTTAGAAAATTAAGAAATAACTACAATTGTGGAAATTCAGTTGAATCATTGGAAATTTTACTAAAACATCTAACCAAAGAAAAATAAGATTTTTATTAACTTAATACATTTAAGTAATAATATTATGAAACACAAAACAAACGGTGCAGTCTTTTAAGTTCTTAATATACACCTTTACTCACGGCCACACATTAAACTTACACCAAAATTTAGTTACAGCTTAATTACAAGCACATAACCTATATTTCAAAACCATGACATGGGCAGATGTGTGTATGCGAGACGCATTTCGTTGGTTGTTGGGTGATCGCGCGTTGCACTTCGCGGTTCTCTTTCACTAAACTCAAAATTTGTCGTCACCCAACAAACGAGTTTGGCAATTCGATGGCGTTATAAAGCTGTGTGATTTATTTTTATTTATTTTTCTTTTAGCTTGTTTTCGAATGTGAGAACCATGTCCATTTCTCAGATCGCCTCCCGGACTCGTGTCCCTGTCTCCGTAATGTTGTTTCAATTTTATTTCACGCTTTGTCTTGGTAGTGTTGGCTTTAACATTGGTCGTTGGTGGCTGGTTTTGGTGTGCTAACAGTTCTAACATTAGAATCACTGTAGTTAATTATTGAGTTGCGTTGTTATGCATAGTTGTATGTAGCTTTGTTAATTAGTATTAAGTTTACAAGAACTTTAATAATAAACACTAATTAGATTTATAATTAATGTCTTTAATTAAATAGGTATGTGTAATATAATACGACAACACTTAATTAATATTATTGTAGAGAAAATTAACATTGAAATTATGTCATTTAAAAATATTAAGTTCATTTGTTTTTCTTTTATATATTATATTTAATTTGTAAATATTTTTAGTGATACCAAAAATTAATAACTTAAAGGTTTTACATACCAATAATTTGTTATAACACAAGCATGTAAAATAGATTAAGCAGATACCTAAAACGCAAACGCACAACTACCCCCAATTAACAGAAATAAATTACCTTGTACATACCATTCACACATAACTTATTTTACGTGTAAAATTTTATGATTAGTCAGATGTTATGGTACAGAAATTTATAGAAATTTGTATTTTAATATTGTATTAATCAAGATCAGAGTAAAGCTATAAAATTTTCCAGTTGATGTTTCTGTCACTCATAATTTGATAATATTATTGTTACGGAAAAATGGGCCTTTCCCTAACGAGAATCTTTACGACTCGAGTTTTGTACGCGTATGCTTCATATCACCCGTGAGTCGTCGCTATGAAATTTACCAGGTTTTGCAAAGGAAGTTAAGCGTCCGACGATTTGTTTGTGGCGGCGCTGTCGTCGTGCCACAAACGAAAATACATCGAAGCCTAAATCGCACTATCAAAGTTCCGAAACAAAAATAGTATTAATAGAAAGAATAGCTCCAAACTACCACTTACAGCGTTGGCCGCACAACTTTCCCGCCGGGAGATCTTCCCTTTTCCTTCTACCGTCAAAGTTAGTTAGTCGCACGCTATTGGCTGTGCCTGCCCAGTTGCAACCTGATTCCAAATGTTTGTCCTACACATTGAATTTCGGTCACGGCGGCAAATCTCAACGGAGACTAGCCTGGACAGGATTATAGTGTCCGAGTGTGTGCGCAAGCTCAGGTGCAATCTGTATTCCCTCAATCATAAGTCCGATGGAACAGTAATCCATCACGCAGGGGCAACGGCTTTACGTGCTCTCCCAGGCACGGGTGTAAAACTACGCCAAATTTTACACTGGGCTGCTACTGAAAATTAGTTGACAGAAAAATCCAATAACCAATTTTGGCCCGACAAGAAATTCAAACCTGGGATCACAGATTAACAGATGCGTTAACGACCACTAGACTATATACTATATATAATTTGGGATGTTTGGATTGAAATCTGAAATAAATCATTTTTGACAGCTTCTGTTATTTTACCTACGCTTACAATAAATATATACCATTTTCATCAACATTTATACAGCGTCTATATACCTATAAATAATATATAAACTCTACTTCTACTCAATTAAAACTGATAGTCAAGAGTACCCTAAACCGTAGAGCATGTATGAAGGGAATAATGAAAGTGGACGAAGCGAAACAAGTATATAAGGATCGTAGCAAGTGGAAAGAAGTGGTCTCTGCCTACCCCTACGGGAAAGAGGCGTGATTATATGTATGTATGTAAATAGGCGGGCGGGCGACCTATGCCTTCATTACGAGTTGTGTAATTTTTGACTACACTCCCGTGGGAAAGGCCCTAAAGAATGAAAAAGCAATGAATTAATATTAATATATACCATGACTCTGGCCAATCCGTTGTAGTTTAACTAAGTTTTTGCTATCTGAACGAAACATGCGCGACATTATGTTATGTAGTTTTTTTTTAAATATCTTTGTTATAATTTATTTTCGAAAAGAAACATTTGTGAAACTTCCAAAAATACAATTTTTACTGTTCACAAAATTAACCTTCGGTGGTTAAACCACTGCAATTATTATTGAAAAATGGAGAAAGAGTCGATGCATCACATGCATAATAGTGGGTTAATATCGTTTACTACTTACTAGATTTTGCGTAATGATAATGCTGATGAATGTAACTTTTTATCATTATTATCATTATCATAAAAGCCGTGCACAAGTCCACTGCAGATGATAGGCATCCTGAAAGGAATACCACAAAACAGCAACCCGCATCCATCAACTTCCCGCGTCTCTAACCAGGTCGTCACTCTACTTACCTGTAGGGGCTGCTACTCAAGATTCTTTTTTTTCTATCGGTTGTTGGTTCTTGGTGCGTCTGGTCCATTTTTGTGTTGTTTCTTACTAAAGATGATTCACATCTGTAGTAATTGATATTAAAGCGAAACCACATGGTGCTTAACTAAGGCGGCGCTGCGCCTAAACGAAGCCTGCCTGCGCCTAAATGAATCGTTTGGATAAATGGTTGGATTGGCTCCCTGTACGCCTCATAAGGCTGTAACTCCATCTTAGTAATGGTAGAGGACTTAAACAACACTAGTAGTACAAAATTCTTTGTAAAGTTATAAGGAATACTGGACGAAAACAAAATATATCGTAATATGCCGAACCATGCCATGCCTTACTTAAGTAAACTTAAACATTTGAAGGTTAATTTTGTGTGTTGAATAAAGCATGTGTAACCGCATGAACGGAATTGTCACAAATGTAGTTAATTTTTTTCACTTAAAGGCATACATTGCTAAAATTTTAAGTCGGCGTATTTTCACTAAATCAATAATCACCATTCCCTTTATAACACTATATGACATGGTATGTAATTAGTTATAAAAATTAATTCGTGATAAAAAATGTAAAATGATATTTAAATATTAGATCTGTTTGTTATTAATTAATAGTTATACATAGATTTTTTAGTAAAACCTGAGTTTTTCATATTGAAACATTTTATTTTGACAGAGAAAGAAATTCGACAGAGCATGAATTGAAAAAGTTAAATAAAAACTTTTTAAGCAGTTTTATCTAAGTTTAATTGCTAAATAATATTAAAATACATTTCCAGGGTAGTTTCTATCAAAAAATTGTCTCATTGATCAGAAGTGCCCTGTACCTAGCAGCGGAATGTATGGAGGGAGTTTTTTTTATTCTTAGAAATGTTTTGTTTGTTTTTTATTCTTAGAATTGTTCTGTTTTTTATTGTTTATTTAGTATGGTTAAATTTTCGGACACACGAATGTCATAAGCTCAGAATCTCGTTTATGAGTAAACTGGGTAGAAAAAAGATACCAGCATATTTTAGGCATCTTCCACGTACTTATAAATTTGTAACACTAACGCTGGGAATACTCTGGCTGTCATTTTGTTCACAACTATAATTTTAAACACTGTAAAACAATAATTTATCAAGTCTGACAAAAAAAAGTGTTTCGTTCAGAGTAGTCGGTAGTGGTGATAGTTGTGTGTCGTTTAATGAGGTGACGTGTAGGAACGTGCGTGTGTGCGCAGGAACAAGAGCGCGCGTGCGGGCAGCAGCGCAGCGCGCGCGAGGCCGAGCAGGAGCGCCAGTGGAAGCAGCTGCAGCAGATGCGCCAGCAGCAGACGCAGCAGCAGCAGCAGATCATACAAGACCAGCGGATACAAGGTACCTACCAACCACGAACCATCAACTTCTCCTGATTAAATTCCCCTACACCATTTCCGGCCATGGCGACAACTTTTTCAAGTTACGCGCTAATAAAGCACTACTCCAACCTACCCTTGTACCATGTAACGATTCGGGTATCGTGAATATAGATCGGGCTGTGAATCTTCTTCATTTATTCTATATCAGTCTCTTTAAATCCACCCAGATATACCAGGGCACTGTTACACCTGACATGTATCGTTTCACGAAGTTGCTTAGTTTTTAAGTATAGATCATGTTTCACATACAATGCTGCGTGAGGCTTCCGCGGAAGGGTTCGGGGCACGACTACGGTTCTTACGTTGCCACGATTTGAAAGCGTATTCGCATAGATTTCAATTTTTTAGTATCGGTATGTCGGAAACTAAGCGATATATCGAAACATTTTATTTTTATTTTTTGGCGTATCTATCGCGAAATCTCTCGTGGAGATCTATGCGAATCCGCCTTCAAATCGTGGCGCCGTAGAAACCGTAGAGGCCCCGGGTTCGGTAGCAGCAAACTGCTACATTTTTAAAACTGATATGTGGTGGATAAAAAAAATCGACCACCTCATATCATACCGTAGGTAGGCGTCGTAAAAGATGACAGAGGGAAATGAAACAACAGCATCTGATTGATAAAAACTTGAAACAATAAAAAACTGTGCCTGCCAAGCACGCCATCTATGGAAAATATCCTCCTATGAGACAATCCATTAAGGAAGCCTATGTTGTCCGGTGGACTTTTATAGGCTGTCAATGAATAAATTAAATATACGAGTATACATACATACATACATATCATCACGCCTCTTTCCCGTAGGGGTAGGCAGAGACCAGTTCTTTCCACTTGCTACGATCCTTACATACTTGTTTTGCTTCGTCCACTTTCATTATTCCCTTCATACATGCTCTACGGTTTAGGGTACTCTTGACCTGGCCTTTTTTCAAGACGTCCCTGATTTGGTCTAGAAATGTCCGCCTAGGTCTACCCCTTCCAACACTTTCATTCACACTCGCCTTATACACTTTTTTCGTCAATCGTTCTTCATTCATTCTCTCGACATGGCCAAACCATCTCAGCATACCTTTCTCAATTTTTGTCACTACATCTTCTTTCAGTATACGAGTATGTTAGTATTAAACTCAATAGATACGAATATTGTGAGTTGTGACAGCGTAGTGATTTATTGTACAGCAGCGATGCAGCGTATGCGCGCGCCGGACAGTAGTCCTCCGCCGGGCACTCCCGGAGCGGGCAGCGCGGCGCCGGCAGCGCCTGCAGCGCCTCCAGCGGCTGCACCGACGACGCCCACGCCTTCCGCAGAAGCCCCACGCAGCGCCTTCCCAGCGCAGCGCTTTCCGCTGCATTACGCGACCAACGACGACATTAACAGGCAGCTGCGCGATCTTCTGCAGCGACATCCAGACAAGATGTGGCCACCGCGTGAGTTATTTTGTCACAATGTCTGTATGTTTATTTCTGCTCTCAATTGTTTATCCCCTTGCTTTAAACTACTTAAAGCAAGGGCGCTAAAGGGCTTTAAAAGTGTTTCTAAAATTTTGTTTGGATGTTATAATAAAATCATTAAAATAGACCTTTTTGTTAGTTTTCTAAAATTTCTGAGTGAATTGAATAGAATAGAATAAAATAGTTTTTATTCAACATAAATTACAAGTAATACTTAGTGATAGTCAGTATACTGTTTTCATTGGTTCGGAGAAAAACTTTGAGTGGTCCTACTGTAGCTCTACTGACTAACGAAATCCTACACTGCGATACAACACAAACGTGGAAGATTCATAATTACTTCATTCACAAATGTTTCCATTTATTACAGAGTCAAGTAGTGAAGAGGGTTCAGTCCAGAGTGTAAATTTAGAAGGGCAACCATTTAGGCAGCCCCTACCAGTTTCCCTACGTCCACGGGCTCCATTGCAGCCTGGACAAAGACCTGACCACCAGTGTAAGTTTTTACATCACATTAGGCATAGGATTATAAAAAAGTTCTATTGAAAGACATTAATAGATAAGAATTAAAATATTATAAATGATAATTACTTAAAAGAATTCTCAAAATAACTTTTGACCATTTGATCACCTGTGCACGATAATAATAATAATTATTATTATTATTTGTATTTTCCAATCATTGTCCGTCTGAATGCTAGTTATGTGTACATAATGCAATCATTTTCAACATGATCACCTAAAATGTGATCATTTTCAACATGATCACCTAAAATGTGGCAAAATGGTAATAGCTAGGTGATTGTTAGTATAAAATTTACGTCATGACTTGTTTTAAATTACAGTAATAATGCAACAACGTATTGTATCAACGGACACCAATCAAATGCAACAAAATATACCCCATCCAGTTGCACAGCATTTGATGGACCAGAAACAATCGATTCTATCGCAATCGAATGGTACGTACGAAATTTGTTTTAATAAATAATATAATCGCTTTGTTTTGCTTATTATAGTAAAGTTAAAATATCCAAGTTAAAAGATACCATGCCTTATTTTAATATATTTTGTGAAAAAAAGCATGAAAATTTATAATAACGGCTAATTATTGAGGTGTTTGCGAAGGAAGCTAAGCACCGGTTTCACATTTCTCAGGTAAGGTTATGTTAGCAATTAGTCAGTGCATGTTGATGGACTAAACACATCCCCGAAATATTTTATTCCTCTGACATGTGAGATTCTTGCTGCCAAGAATCGAATCCTGGTTGTTCGCGTACTGTGATATTTATGGCAAACGCTTTTGCTATCTTATAGAGTAAAATACACTAGATATAATATATATTTATGAAGAAGATTGTCTGAGAATTATCATCATTAATTTATATCGAACAGATTTATATTCGTATAATTTTCTATTTATATCTAGTGCTTATGTATAAACACATTCATAAATATTAAAATTGTTGTTCATTTTAATATTTTTAAATACATACCTCCACAATCGTTCTACGAGTCGATTGAAGAAATCATCGCCTTGTTTTTAGTGTGGAGAAAAAAAATTGGCTATTTGGTACACATTGTGCAAGTTTGATTAATGGGTTATCTCATTCTTTGTCAGATTTGTAAAACCAAATACCTACATTTGTAATACGTGCAATCTTATATATACTACATAATTATTAGTTTCTTTAGAATTAACCTCATATTAATAACTATGACGTTACTTAATGTCAAACGTTACTTTCTCGTAATAATGTCTAAATTTCCGTAGCAAACCAGAGCGGAGACAATAAGCAGGACTCCGCGCCCGAACAGGGGACTGATGAAATGGATATGGGAGATATGGATAAACTAGAACAAGATGCTGGAAATATTGGCGAGGTACCTTTAATATTAATACAGTAGTTGTTTTACAAAATACGTTAATATATTGAGAGCAAAGATGTGTTAAAATTACTCTTTGCTCACGCAAGTCCCTTTGCTACTGATAAAATGACATTAAAAAAATATTTGTAGACATTTTACATTGTATTTGATTTAATTGTCAGCTGTTATATATGAAATTGTAAATGGCATGAAAAAAAAATTAAGAAACTAGGGTTTCTCGCCGGGTCTGCCCAGAGACGTTCATAAAAGCTTTTAACAAGCCTATACTGAATAAAAGTTTGGCCTTCAGATAGTTTTAAAAATATACCAAATATAAAATATTGTAATGTTACTGCGAACGTTTATTCACTTCCCAAACATGCAAAAAGCCACTTAATGCTAACTCTGAAAGCCAGTAGGGATGCAGTGCTTCATTAGCTCAGGTGTATAGTTCTGAGTATTCAAGGTGAGTTTCATTGACTTTACCCAGGTCATTGGGACACACAAACTATTGTTGAGAGCAGTATAGTATTACAAGAACAAATGTCTAAAATATTCTCATAATATCAAGCCCGTTGTGAATATAAGCCTCACCCATTGTAGGAATGCTTCTCTTTAATCGTCACATGTGGCAAATAAATTGACGTTCATAGTACCAGACCGTCTCACCACCCTTGTAACAACATCTGCATGATGTGCCAAAATTAATTATTTTATGTTTTGCTACTTATCTTTAATTTATAAATTATCTATTTCGTAACTATAAGATACAGTGACATTGGCAGTCTGCTGTGCGAATATCGAACACTATAGCGTAGCATTTAATAAGTATGTTATGTGCGCGCAGGTGGATATTCTGACGGGTCTAGGAGGCGAGGACGACGAGGCGCTACTTGAGTCTCTGACGGCGGAAATGGGCGAGCAATTCAACATCCTGGAGTACGCTGACCCTGAGCTGGCGGCGCTCAACGACGCGCACCTGCTGGACGGGCTCGAGCTGGCAGACGACGTGCCGCAGTCGCACTCGCACCCGCATGCAAAGCGGATGCCCAAGTGAGTGCCTCGCCTTAACTTAACTCAATTCAACTCGCTCAACGACGCGCACCTGCTGGACGGGCTCGAGCTGGCAGACGACGTGCCGCAGTCGCACTCGCACCCGCATGCAAAGCGGATGCCCAAGTGAGTGCCTCGCCTTAACTTAACTCAATTCAACTCGCTCAACGACGCGCACCTGCTGGACGGGCTCGAGCTGGCAGACGACGTGCCGCAGTCGCACTCGCACCCGCATGCAAAGCGGATGCCCAAGTGAGTGCCTCGCCTTAACTTAACTCAATTCAACTCGCTCAACGACGCGCACCTGCTGGACGGGCTCGAGCTGGCAGACGACGTGCCGCAGTCGCACTCGCACCCGCATGCAAAGCGGATGCCCAAGTGAGTGCCTCGCCTTAACTTAACTCAATTCAACTCGCTCAACGACGCGCACCTGCTGGACGGGCTCGAGCTGGCAGACGACGTGCCGCAGTCGCACTCGCACCCGCATGCAAAGCGGATGCCCAAGTGAGTGCCTCGCCTTAACTTAACTCAATTCAACTCGCTCAACGACGCGCACCTGCTGGACGGGCTCGAGCTGGCAGACGACGTGCCGCAGTCGCACTCGCACCCGCATGCAAAGCGGATGCCCAAGTGAGTGCCTCGCCTTAACTTAACTCAATTCAACTCGCTCAACGACGCGCACCTGCTGGACGGGCTCGAGCTGGCAGACGACGTGCCGCAGTCGCACTCGCACCCGCATGCAAAGCGGATGCCCAAGTGAGTGCCTCGCCTTAACTTAACTCAATTCAACTCGCTCAACGACGCGCACCTGCTGGACGGGCTCGAGCTGGCAGACGACGTGCCGCAGTCGCACTCGCACCCGCATGCAAAGCGGATGCCCAAGTGAGTGCCTCGCCTTAACTTAACTCAATTCAACTCGCTCAACGACGCGCACCTGCTGGACGGGCTCGAGCTGGCAGACGACGTGCCGCAGTCGCACTCGCACCCGCATGCAAAGCGGATGCCCAAGTGAGTGCCTCGCCTTAACTTAACTCAATTCAACTCGCTCAACGACGCGCACCTGCTGGACGGGCTCGAGCTGGCAGACGACGTGCCGCAGTCGCACTCGCACCCGCATGCAAAGCGGATGCCCAAGTGAGTGCCTCGCCTTAACTTAACTCAATTCAACTCGCTCAACGACGCGCACCTGCTGGACGGGCTCGAGCTGGCAGACGACGTGCCGCAGTCGCACTCGCACCCGCATGCAAAGCGGATGCCCAAGTGAGTGCCTCGCCTTAACTTAACTCAATTCAACTCGCTCAACGACGCGCACTTGAAAGTGTGATAATTAAAGGCTAAAATTTAATTGTTGCTTGCCGACCTCAAAGGGTCTTAAGTATGAAGTTCTTAATAAATTAAGTGTACGACCAACCATACATTGCTGTAAGCATTTATATTTTGAAAAAATTGTAAATTTGCAAATGTTTTCACCTTAACCGCGACGAACACACGCATTAACACCACAAATATAGCTTTAGTTATGAATAAACAAATTTTGCGTTGTAGTTTTTCGTCGCCTCTAATGACTTTTTTTCTTTCAGTGATGATAATGAAAATAAAACAGAGAACAAAGTTAATAGCGAGCTTCAAAAAGCTGTACATAATATAGAAACAGACAAAGTCCAAGTTAAATCTGAAATGGGCACAATCAAAACTGAAAACCACGAAGTAAAACCAGAAGTCACTTCTTCCACTTCTAATGTCGGACAAATGTTCTCAGAAGGTGTTCACAGGGTTATTACACAGAATCAGCAGATGTCTATTCAGGTAAATATTGTTTTTTATTTATTAGTTTTTGTTTTAGATATATTTTGTTAGCATGCTTGACTTGAGAGTAGATGAATGACATACTACTCTGATGAAATATTATCTTGTTCTCCCCCAGTTACTAGACATGAAATACCATATATATTCTCAATTAATAATTGAGTATTATTTATAGACGGCGATGCATGAAATCAAATCGGAGATAAAGCTGGAAGGAGACGAAGTGAAATCAGAAGGCGAATGGCGCCCAGTCCAGTCCCCACAAAGGCCTGTCTTTTCGCAAATGTTTGCCGGCGGCGTGCAGAGGCTTCAAGTACCTATACAAGTAATTTCTATGCTTTTTTGTTCCACCATAACGGTAGTAAATAAAAATAAAATTCTTGATAAATCACGTAACCGTAAAATTAACTTGTAATAAATGTTTTTAAGGTACTTACTGAAATGTTAAGCTAGGTTTGTTTCTTGCGTCATATAGTCATTTAGTAATACATTAAGATAACATGAAAATTACGAGTATTAATGTGTTGAATATCATTCTGTGTTTTAGCAACAAAACATAGGTCAGCGGCCGTCACAGTTCGGTCAACCCACGCAGCAAGTGATAAGCCAACAACTTGTACAGCGAGCGCAACTGCAGCTTACTGGACAACATAACATGCATTTTGCACAAGTAAGTTAATTCTAAATAAACAATAATATAATAATAACTTGGAAAAAAGGATCCATTTATTCCATTACTAAAAAGATTAATATTAAAATAGGGTTTAATTATAAGAAAATGTTACTTCCATAATATAATCAAACATATTGGCGTATTAGAAAAGGTATTTGAACCTCTCAGATCCTGACATTATTTCGAACCATTTCTGTCAGACCTGTGGTCAGGCCAAGGTCAATATATTTTCGTTTGGTTCTCAAAACCAGGCTTTGTCAATTAGTGAATGGAATCTATACGGCATTAATAACAACGCCATTGAATATACTACGTCGGCGTTGCAGGTCGATGTGTAGTACTTAACACAGCGTGTAGATGGCGCTGTTACAGAATACAACCTCATTGGGAACCATTGCTTGCATCTGAAAAAATAATATAAATAAAATCACATTTTATTGAACAAATAGAATGTTAGCAGTCACAATTGACAATGTAGTTTCTAAGTATAGTTAGTTTCGGATTGCCATCCCATTGAACTATCAGATTTAGGAAATAGTGTGTTTGTATTTTTGCACACAATCGTACACTATAAAAACCTGTCCTACGTAGATGGCTAGTCCAAAAATGTACTCGCGTTAAATATCATATTACTATTAAAGTTGAAATCACCACATACCTTTCATCGTCTAAGGGAAATATTGCTACGAGTAGCCTTTTCTTGTCATTTTTTCCGCTTCTTGCACCATTTAATTGGAAAGTAACAATTACATAAATGAACTACGGCTCCTATAGCTAACTTTGATTTTTATTGTTAATATAGCAGATCTCCCGGAAATATCAATGTAGTATGTTTATTATGTAATAAAGAATCATTAAAAATGGTTTTCCAAAATTAGTTAAATAGCCTATTGATGTTTAATTTAAAACTTCTAAAATAGAAAACCAATCCTAAACTAAAAGCAAAATAAAACGTCCTAAATGGCCCGTGGTGCCCTTGGGCTATCTGGAAATAGGATTTCTGTCTCGCTCACACTTCTCCATCTTACTTAAACTATTAAATTTAGGCCTTGAGGAAAGCCAGCCTTGGGTACACCAGAATCATTTAATTAATAAAAAATGTTCAAAACTGAGTTAGCAAGAAATAATTTAGCAAGTGCAATACCATTTTGGAATCCTTAAAAAAACCAACTTTTAAAGTTACTAGCCAAACTAGCGTAGTACATTTTTTTCAGTACAGTGAGTTAAAATTGGCCGAAGTATTAACTTTAAATACTTGGTAACAGTAGAAGTGACATTTTCTTCCAAAATGGAGCAGTTGGCTTTAAATTTTAGGCAACAACTTACAAAAGCATTATTCAGGATTACATAATAAAAATAAAATTAAAAAATAAAGATTTGTAGTAACGGGAGTTAAAAGACTATCACAGGTTGTAGATTTTCTCGATTTTTTTAAAATACCTATAAAAATACACAACTGAAAAATTTTATTGTATTTTTCTGATAACTATCATGACGGCCTATCACCCGTTTCCGGTTTGACGTCGATTTTTGAGATAGCCTGTATATTATCACAGTATAATAAACATACAGTAGGACGGCGCCTTTGATCTCGTGGTAAATGCCGACAACGTCTAGACAGCGTATGGAGATTAGGGTTGTCACAAATTAACAACTTTTACTAATTTAATTATTTATTTTAGATCTACACCGTCATCAACAGTATGATTACTAATATAAAAAATAAGTAACAATTTGTTGTTCTTAGATTTTTCCTGAAAGTACTCAAAACGTTAATTGCATGCCTCACAACGTGAGGGAGTGCTCTACTCTCGATATGTGGCCATATCTTAATTTCGCTACATACAATCGTTCTTATACTCTTAGCTAGACATCAAATCCATATTATTATTAACGTTACAATGACTACAGACATTGAATTATTAGTTTATTTTATAATTGATTCTTTAGGCTTTCGAAAGTTCTTCCAATTAAATCAGGTTTTCCAATAACTTCCATCCATAATTTGCATCTGAAATTTTTAAATACAATACTTATTAATGAATTTTCATAATTATCACCCCCAGAAACCTTAAAATTGACATCCATATTGTATTATTAAAAAAATCCACCATATTGGATATGAAAATTGATGCCGTTTTCGTAATTGGCACCCCAAGAAACCTCGAAATTAACATCCATAATATCAAAAAAATTATGTCCACCATCTTGGATTTAAAAATGAATTCCATTTTCGTAATGAGCACCACAACAAACCTCGTAATCGATACCCATATCATATTATTAAAAAAATGTCCGCCATCTTGGATATAAAATGGATGCCGTTTTCGTAATCAGCACCCCAAGAAACCTCGAAATTGATACCCATATCATATTTAAAAAATGTCCGCCATCTTGGATATAAAAATGGATGCCATTTTCGTAATCATCACCCCAATAAACCTTGAAATTGACATCCATATTATACATATATTAAAAAATGACCGCCATCTTGGATTTAAAAATACTGGGATAGATGCTATGCAAATAAAAAGTTGTGCACACCTTGAATTAAATAATATTTTTATTCCCACATAAAAGACAGTTCGAAATACAAGTTTAGACTACCGAGCGAGGAAAAGAGGTGGAGAATAAATGTAAACAATTAGTTGTAGAAAAGATAGTAGATCTGGAAAGCCAATGATAGGTTGGTGCGATTTAAATAATGGTTACTTAGGCGGCGCGAGCGTAGTGTGTAGCGCTGAAGCCGTTTAAAACTACTGACCAGTAAAAACGAAGTCGCCCGGACTGCTAAGAAGGCGGTGGAATGGTGTCCAGAATTGCCGACCTCAATCGACACGAAGATCGAGCCGGCGCGTACGCTGTTCAATAAACATATTCAAAAATTACAGAAATTGTATGTTGTTGGATTACAGACGTAACCGATGACTATCTTTATTATGGAGTATTTGAAAAATTGGAATGAAGTATTTACAACTTTTAACAATTTAAAACAATTAACTATTTACATCTTAAATATGCAATCACTTAATAAAATTAACTTACTGGTATTTTAATAGGTGTTCAAAATGGAGTCCGTTTCTCACAATGCACAGTTGAGCACGTTTCCTTAAATTATTTTTTTACATTAATTACGTGTATTTTTATGTCTGAGCACTTTTCACTTGGGTGAATGCAGCAATTATTTTGCTGCGGAAGTTGTCATAGCTTTAGGCCTCTTCGTCGTAAACTTGTCTGTTTATTTCACCCCATAAATAAAAGTCTAATGGCGTAAGGTCCGGTGACCTTGCAGGCCATGATTTAGAGCCGTCACGCTCAATCCACCTATCTTCGTATTAGCTATTCAAATAATCACGCACTGCACTTGAATAGTGAGGCGGGGAGCACCGTCGTGTTAGAAATAAAAATTATCTAGTAACATTTGGGATATCCAGGAATCGATCGATCGTCCAGGAAATCTTGAGTAACACCTTGTAACATGTCCAAATAATGACCACACATTAATCGTCTTTCAATGAAGTACGGGCCATTATACACATACCGGTGATAACTATATTTCACAGCGCGTGGGTTGCATACTGCCCAGTTGTCTGTTGCGACTGTTATAATTTTGAGGTGGACCATTCTTATTATTTAGTGCTTGCACACGTTGGTAATGAAATGGGTGATATCCTGAAGAATTCAGTAGTTTTCACACGTAGTATTGGCTGTAACAAGTAATACTACCTACAAAAATTAAAAATAGGACACTCGGTACGTAATGAGGTGACTGTCATGTCAACGCTGTCGGTCGGCCAGGTGAACCTACCCAGCGATGTAATGGAAGGGAAAGGGCGGGGAGAGGATGAATGACAAGCAACTAAAATAATGCATTCAAACATTTTGAATATAAAGGATTAAAAGGATAAAATGCTTCAGTTTTTTTTTCTTGTTTATTTTTTTTTTTACACCATTCGCGTATGTTATCTATTCTGACCTCCTCTGCAAATTTGATCGGTTATTGCAAAATAACCCTGTATAAAAATTAATTCTTGTTTTTTTTTTTCGTATTTTAAGCGCGTATAAAAAGGTCTCCGGTTCTCTATACTCACCATACGAAACACAGCAGCATTGAGCTGCTATTGGTATTCTGTGAGAGCTTGATCCTTCCCCGGTCGAGCCGACCCATTCGTGCTACTATACTACTAATATAGTTGCAGCATGGCTCTACCACATATAAAGTTAAGAGAAATAATGTGTAACTTGTTGTGTGCAGAGTGCGGCGGCGAGCGCGCACACGCAGAGCATCGTGAGTGCGATGAGCGCGCAGGTGCAGGCGGCGCTGGCGGCGGGCCGCGCCATCGCGCCCGGCACGCGCCTGCTGGGCGCGGACGGCGCCGTCGGCGTCGTGCGCCACGACCGCACCGTCGCGCTCGCCACGCTGCCGCACTCCGGTACACGCACCCACGCACCACCACGCACGCACACACGCACCACCACGCACGCACACATGCACCACCACGCACACACGCACACACCACGCGCCTGCTGGCCGCGGTCTGCAATATCGAAATAACTTCTTTGTACGTGTTATTAAGACATGAATATAAAAAAATCTTGTCTTTCTGTCTGTCTTTCTGTCCAGGCATGACGACATCACATGACATGCCCCAAGTCGGTAATATTTATAAAAAAAATTAATGCTTTATAACTTCAGAATATAAGATTATTTTATTCTTTTTAATTATTCGAGGGCTTTTCTTTTATTAAATGTATTTTTACGCTTTTGAGGAACAGTAAAATATCACAATATTAATGTAGTCTAAATAGTATAACAATTTCTATGTCGTCTGAATAAATTATATTAAAAAAATCTTCTATTTTTTTACCCTTAAGGGTGGAATTTTGTCTTAAAATTTATATGGGACCATCCCTTAAATATAACCTATTTATTAGAAAAATAATTCCCAAAGTCGATTCACAATTGACGAAGATATCGTGTAACATAACATATATACGAAAAAAAAACTTATTAACTTACTCTGTGAGAGCGTGGTCCTTCTCTGGTCGAATCGACCCATTGTTGCTACAACAATAATATAGTTGCAGCATGGCTCTACTACGTAAAATAGCTGCATATAGACATTGAACTGGAGCTTAATGAGCGCGTGTCGGTTGTGCAGCGTCCGGGAGTGTGAGCGTGGGTCGCGCGCCGCCGCCGCCGCCGTACCCGGGCACGCTGCGCGCGCCGCCGCCGCACGTGCAGCACGCGCAGCACGCACCGCAGCACGTCGCGCAGCACGCGCCGCCGCCCGCGCCGCACGCGCAGCCGCAGCACTCGCAGCACTCGCAGCACCCGCAGCACCCGCAGCCGCCGCCGCCCTACCCGCAGGTACACCCGCGCACACGCGCACGACTCGCCTACACCATACCACGCAGAGTATCTTCGATGAACAACTACGACTCACACACACCTGCTGCGCCTCTCCTCTCACACGAACAAAAGCTATCTACTGCTATGCACAATTATTCTCCTAGTTTTAATGTATTCAGTTGTCTATAATTATTGACTGTTCTAGAATTTTTCAAAACCATAATATTTACTCGATCTAATTCGTAAGATACTCAACCCAGTACCAGACTACGACACACATTATTTCTATACTTATTTTCAATTTGTAAAATCAAATAGAAATTAGATCTACAACCTACAAAGCTGTTACAAGACATCCATTTTGTAAAAATCACATTGATAAAGCCAACACGGACACAATACCTATACTTTTCGGTTACCATATTCATTTGAAAGTTAAAACATAGAAACTGATAAAATACCTACTGTGCCATAAATTTTGTTACAAACTGAATTGCATTTTGTAGTACACCTAAAGTGAAGTATAATCTTAATAAAACGCATTGTACAGAAGTTTAAAATATTATTTAGTATATGCTTATAATAGTCTAAACAATTTATGAAGGGCGGCCTATGTTCAGTTATGTTCAATGGATAGATGGTGGATTCATTTAAATAAAACTTTAAAATACTTATATAATAATGAACACTGTATTACGGATAGTCCATAAATACAGTAAATTTTTATTACGACTTATGCTCTCACACTTAATGCATGACATCGTACACTATTTACATATATTAACAATTGACACTGCAGCAGGCGTTACAGTTAGTTACGCGACCTCAGCTAATTGGCCTGTTGGCATGTGTTTTTCTTTCATTCCAATACTCAAGATAAATTGTCAATGTACATTACAATTCGGAGCTGAATTTTTCGTGGATTTTATTCAGAGTTACGCTTTCATATTATTGTATTGTTGGCCTGATTTTATTTTTTATAACTGGCTTTATGGCTCTGGGTTCCAGCCCTTATGAGCCTGAAGTTACAATGTATAATTATCCTTCATAGTACACTGCTTTACAATATGTTGATGCGTCACATTGTACAGCCCTTGGGAAATTTTGACGGCAACTTGAGCCAGCAGACAGCTGACAGTTGGTGATAGTATCTCAAGGCGCCTAAGCAGACAGACACCTATCTTGAGAATCACATCACCATCAGAGTACTTGTTTCACCTTTTCAACTAATAGTTCAATGGGCAGACAATACACAAAATCGCACCACTTGTACATATCAAAATCTACTTCAAACCATTACTTAAACAATAATATAGGAGCAGCAAACCGCTGCCGGTTAAGTTCCCACCAAAGCCCTTGTTAGCCTGACTTCATGTAGCACACTTTATGTTATCATTTGATGTATTTTTGATAAAGTAAATGCCAGCCCTCATTTTAATTCATATAAATAGCAAAATAGAGTTTATAAATGAACAATCTCACCTGAAACCCTTTCAAAATCAGCATGGCTTATATTTTTCTTTACATAATGAATTATGGTATAAAGTAATATGTAAAGTAGCAGCAAATTTATTAAAGTTCTTACATAATAAACCATAGACACAGAGAATGCACTGTGCGTTAGCCTCACAAAAGTGACCATTCTTTAGAAAGAGAAAAAGTGACTGTGCGGCCAATACCTGTCTCTTCCTGCAAACTTGATTGTTCCACATCCTGCAAGTCATTGACGTGGACCAATAAGATTTATAGAAACAGACTATTACTGGCCGCACATTCGCTTTGTCTCTCTCGCACTTTTCGGTCTGTATTCACTGCACAACTGAATACGGAACGCATAGTCCATTGTCTCTATGTTTATGTAATAATCATATTTCAAATTTGAATTCAGAAAACAAGAACATTTTAAATTGTTACAAAAGTTAGGGCTATAATAGCTATATGCATATAACAAAACAACACAACAATCTAATAAAATGAAATATAACCATAAATTAATTCATCGAAGATACTCCAGTTTACAAAACAACTAAAGCATCTCATATTAAAATATTTATTAAATGATTACATTATACTAATGTAGTTGAATCGTTACAAATATCTTGGAAGATTTTTGAATATGTGCATGTAGTAATTATTTTATTATTTGATTATTGTTGTAATTTTGAATCTGTTTTGACGTCCAATATTTTATACTAACTTCATTACAGATTCATACGCTTTAAGTGTACGTTGTTGACGCTAAGGTTCACATTTATAATTTACGTATCGGCCGTAACGCATTATATCTTAGCGCATTAAAGATAATATTCTTTTCACTATTAAAAAAAACTTATCAATAATCCATGGTTCCAAATAACTAACATGTCTTCCGCACAACAATATTAGGTAAAAAAATATATTTAAATTGATCTCTCAGAGTTAAATACTATTTAATGTGCGCTCTATAACTCTGAAGATATTATCATTGATATGTTATTGAAATTATGATGATGATGATGATGATATTATTACAAAATAATATATTAAAGAAGTAAATTACATAGTTGACTTGAAATTCTTTTCATTGGTAGGATACAATGATTCAAAAGAATTAACTTTAAAATAAGCATAATTTACAAAGTTATAATAAGTTCAAATAAAATTAGAAAATAAATGTGAACCACATTCGAAGGTGTTCTTATTTGCTTAGTTTTGACCGCATTGCAGTAAAACTTGTATTGTATTAAATGTAACAATATCCACAGCAATATTAATTCGATCATACATTGACATTGGTGGAGGCAGCATTACTGATGTAAATATTGAAACAAACGAAATTGGCTTGTTTCATATGGGCTAAATTTCAAGGACTAATATTGCATGGGTATTAGGAGACATTTTCTCAAAATTATAAGAGTTTTTATTATTTGCTTTATCTAGTACTCTAGTATAAAACTCGGTCGTTTATTTAAATTTAGATTAAGTTTCGTAGTTCGTAGAAAAAATTCTGTGTTCTTTAACAGTAAGACCTTCTTAGCTGTGTTTCAAAATATGACACTAGGATTGTGTCAGATAAAAACTCTTGTAAAATACGAGGAACGCGAAACGTAGGTTTTGTGTCGGAGCGAGTGTAGGCGAGTGTGGGCGAGTACAGGCGTGTTGTTTGCATGTCGGTGATTGGTTGTTGGCGGGCAGGCGCCCTTTGACGCGGCGGAGGCGTGGGGCGACTGGCTGCACCGCCGCCCGCTGCTGCTGCAGGTCAGGCCCGCTCCTCCTGCACCCCGCACCTATCACCCTCTGTACTAACCTTACTAAACTCTCCATGTATTATCTTTCTTTTCATTCGAAATGGTATTCAACCCATGTTTGTTTTACTATCCTAGTAATCTAGAAATCTAATAACTCTCCAATATCTTTCCTCCATCTAAAGACTCCCACTTATCTTGGCCCTACTACTCTATTTGTACTATGTATTATCTCCTACCCCTTTTTTGTTAACTTTTTATCGTTTCTACTTTTAACTCCTTTCCTATAACTTTTTAATTACGTCATTTATGTTGTCCAAAACAACTTAAATTTTACGTTTTTGTTTTTTAAATATGAAACATAGTGCAAGGCATTTAACAAAACCTACAGTATAGATTTCATAGTTCAGTGGTGAAAATCCTTCACAATCCCTTCCAAACTATACCTTCATACCTAAAAACCTCCTTTATGCACTAGAGTTAGGCAAACTCCCTCAGAAAACTTTAGTGGCCTTGTCACAGCTGATCACCTTTTTGTGCTTTTTCTTTGCTTGTATGCCGCACGCATGCGTAATGACTAACCCTTTTAACCTCTTTCAGCATCTCCCCTAACCCACTACAATCAAGCTAAATAAAATATATCTTTTAGTACTGACACGTAACTTACATTAATAAACAATGCCTGCATTAACATACATTGTTCAACTTTACGATATTAAGATATCAATTGCCTGTCTCATCTTTGGGCTATCATCTCATGCGGTGATGGTAATTACACTATTCAAATAAAAAAATATGAAAGTAAAACTGCTATCGATTGACCGATTTCAATTTCGGCGATTACTCCCGAACATTTCGGTAAATTAGCAAATATATTATCATGCTACAACTTAGGTAGTGTTAGGTAGGTAGTGCAATCACTCGTTCTAACTTACTTATAAAATAGACCATAAATTAAAAAAAAATTAATGTGTTAACTCTGGCTTCAAAAGGATTGTGACCTCTAGGTCATCTACAGGTCATATAAATAAATTTGTAGAAAAGCTGTATGTTATTCTAATATTTCTGTGAAAAAGAAGTCGATGAAAATATACAATTAGTTATTATTATTAATAAAGATCTAACGTTGCTGCTAGGCAAAAAAGTAATAATGATGAGCTCCATATAGAATTTTGCTCACGTCGACCAGTCTCAACGGAGACCGTATCTGCGCAGGACAGGATCATAGCGCCCGAGTCTATACGCAAGCATCCGACACCATCGGAGAGTACACGCGCAGGACCAACGGCTTTGAAAAAAAAAGTATGCAATAGTTAAGATAGCAATAAACAAGATCATGTAAGGGTTTTGGAGGTCATGCAATTTTTTTTTATACAAAGTCAAATAGAATGAGCTGACTGACAAGCGCACGTAATGTGCATGAAAATTTGCCAAGTTGTCAGTAAAAGCTTAATGAAGTGCTACCTGAATGATGAACATGAAGAGTTATTGATATTAAGATTCTAAATTATCATTATATATATTTTTTTTCATTTATATATAATTAATTAAAAAAACAAACACCATTTTTTTATAATGATTTCTTATATTTACGCGAAGACTACACATTAAATGAAACTAATTTGTACGGATTATATCGCGTTCTAATTTAACTTATTAATTCCCGGCGTTTCGGGTGCTTTACAGCACCCATGGTCACGTGGGGGGGGGGGGGGGCTGAGGTGTTTGACGTCCCGATGTCATAGTTAGCCCGGCTACCTTCAGTTTTTGAATATAAATTTTAGTCCGATCTACGCAGAATGAGCTTACAGTACCTTGAAGTCTTGCAGTGGTATGCTTGGGTTTGGATTTAATTTTTAATTATAGGATCACAAGCAGATGGCAGCACCCATCCATCTTCTCTATTGAAATTGGGATGTTTTTTTTTATTTATTTCAATAGCCTTGCGAATCATCCTTGGTAGGAATCGGTGTTCTTTTGCGAGGATTTGTAGTCTATCAAATCTAATGTAATGGCGGGGACGATCTTGAACATGTTCACACACTGCAGACTTCCCGGAACGTCGGTGCTTCAAGTCAGCTATATGTTCTTTCACGCGGGTTTTTATAGATCTTTTTGCTTGTCCTATGTAAGAGAGACCATATTCACAATCCAGCATCTTGTAGAGGGATATGACACTTGACGGATTGTAAAAATTGACTAATCTTCTTCGGCGGCTTGAAGTATATTTTAATGGAAGCTCCATTCAAGATGTAGCCAACCTTGCCTGTGACTCCTCTGACATAGGGTAGTACAGCAGGCACACGCTCGGCTGTGGCCGGCTTCACTCGGTCACTGTGACGTAGGCGCGGGACCCGAAGCTTGTTCTCTTGCAATACTTACTCGACGTGCTGAAGCTCGGCGGCCAGATGTTTTCTGTCCCAGACCATTTTTTTTAGTAACGTTGCCGAAAACAAATGATAATAATATACATACACTCGGCGGCACGGAAACTTGGCCACTTCTCATTTTTTCAAAATGGGAATAAAGTAGAAACCGTTCTCCATTTCTTCTCCATACTCTATCATGACTGCCTTGAGTTCGTAAAGCGATTCAGCAGTCATCTGTAAAGAGCAGCCTAGCCTGGCCCATTGCTTGTGGGTCCAAATGGCATGTTTTTTTTTTATAGAATTAAGGTGACAAGCGAGCACACAGTCCACCTGATGGTAAGTGGTTGCTGTGGCCCATAGACGTCTGCATCTATCTTCGTTTGCAAATTAAAATGCAAATGCGTTGTCGGCCTTGAGGACTAAGATAGAATGCCTCTTTTCCAGTAAAATTGGTCTGCGGTTCTCTACACTCACCATACGAAACACAGCAGCATTAAGCTGCTATTTTACGCTGGTGTAATATATAATATTTTACGCTAGTGTTCTCGTGTGAACTGAAGACAAGTTACTTATTGTTGTCTGGGTAACTCGTGACCGCGTGTTGGTCCACTTGCTTGCAAAGCCATTTCCTATATTTGTCTTCTTACTCTACGCTTGCTTACATTTGTGTTCCGTGCGAATAGAAGTTGGTTGTCGTATCTCAGCAGCAGTAAGGCTTAACCGCTATATTTCGCAATACTTGAAAGATAGAAAGAAAGAAAAATTATTTATTTCATCAAACACCAACACATATGTTACAAAAGATATTATGCACTAAAAAATTTATAACTACAGACTAAAAGAAAATTAAAAGGCTCTAGGGCTTGAATCATTTGTTCTAAATCGATGTACACTACCTGATATACAGGATTAGTTACCGGTTTCCTTGTATCATTTTAAGGCATATTGCATTGATATTCAGCTCTTAGTCAGTTTACGCTACGCAGGGCACAACTCAACCTTGATAAATTACCCTCTTGAACTAAGAATATATATATTCGAAAGAAGAAAGAAAACATCTCACACTTTTGTTATCGCGAGATGAGAGCTTGCCCAAGATCTCATGAAAAAAATATATGTCTCTATTTATTAAATATCCTTTCAATAAATAAAGTTATACTTTCAATTTACATAGATTTGGTTATACATTACAAGTAGATTTTAGCTCTTTTTATTATTCTATTTCATGCACTTTTTTATTTTTTTTCACTAGTTATGATCATATTTGTTGGTAGTGTACTGGTAGTGTACTGTATGTACACTGTAATGTAACGTGTACAGTTTATTAAATTGTCGTAGATGCTTTTTATGTTGAGAATTATTATAGTTAGGTGGCATCTTTTAACTCTATTTTTGCAAGGCTCAAATTACTATTTATGTACCGCTTAAAGATGGGATGGGCAAATGGGCTGGGAAAAAAAATTAAAATATTTTAATACGAAAAAATCAGCCCCTCACTGTTGTATTGAACCCGTATATAAGTCAGCAGTCTGCCGATTCGTTACGAACGCAATCGGTCATAACACCAACGGTGGCGGGTGACGTAACTTGAACGACGTCACGAGAGCAAAATTTAACCGTCAGAACGTAAACCAGGAGCAACCGTTGCTTCTGGAGGAGCTACTGGAGCAGGAAAAGCGGGAGCAGGAGCGTGAGGGCGGCGAGTGGACTGGCGGGGGAGCGGTCGGCGTGGCGAGCGCGGTGGGCCCGGGCGCGGGCGGGGCGGGCGGGGCGAGCGGCGCGGCGGGCGCGGGGGGCGCGGGGCCCGCGAGCGCGCCGCCCGCCGTGGCGCTGTTCAGCGCTGCGCCGCCCCCCGCGCCGCCCGCGCCCCCCGAGCGCGCGCTCACCGAGGCCGACCAGCACGCGCGCCTGCTGTACGAGCAGTGGCTCGACCAGTACAACACCTTCGCCGTCGACCAGCTGCGCTACTACGAGACCGAAGTCCAAAAGCTGCGCAAGACCCGCAAGGTGAGCCCCGTAGCCGCTTTCGTGTTCGTGTGCTTACAGTAGTAGCGTGTAGCGTGTTACATGTCCTCCTGTGCAATGTTTTGTAGATCTTCCTGATCTTCCTCGCGGGCCGCATCTCATTCGGGTTGTCGATGTTTTCCATTCTGTGACTAACCTGGGACTCGACCATCATCTCGCACTTTTCATATGAAATAAGTACATTCATACCCTGTGTGTTGTCTTGATGTGTTTTCTTAATATTGCAGTCGCTGAACAGCAAGCAGCGTCAATTGCGCAAATCCGGAAATGAACTAATGCCCAACGACGCGGCGGCTCTTCAACAAGTCTCGACGCAACAACAGGCATTACAAAAGCATCTCGAAGCCGCCCGAAAGCAGGCCAGACAACACAGCATGCTAATTCAGGTTTGATTTACTGATTTTATATAATTCAAAAACCATTGACACTAAATAATTCAAAAACATTCTCTGAAATAAATACATTAAATATCTTGTTCCTTTTACAGGAGTACCAAACTAAACAACGCCAACAAAATCCTCAATTAGCTCAACAAACTGTTATAAATCAACAGCAAATGACAACCAATCAGGGTGTGTTCACTCAGAATCAAAACGTTGGACAATCACAGATGCAACAGCAGTCGACTATCAATAGACCAATTCAAATTGGTCTTCAAGGAACACCGACCCAACAACAGCAGACTCTCATCCGTACTCAACAGACCATTTTAAATTCTGACGGGCAGCCAATGTCGCAACAAAGAATCGGTCTGGTCACGTCACCGCTGAGTGGGCAAGGAAGAATTGTGCAGGGCGGGCGGACCCTCGTAATAGAGCAGTCGGGGTCGGCGCAGCAGCAGCTGGTGAGGCAGCTGTCGGGCGTGCAGGAGCGGGCGCAGTTCGGGCAGCAGCAGCTGGCGGCGCGCGCCGCCATGTCGCCGCTGCACGTGCAGTCGCCGCACGCGCAGTCGCCGCACCAGCTGGCGCCGCACTCGCCGCTGCACCACCTGGCCTCGCCCATGCAGTCGCCGCTGCACTCGCAGCCGTCGCCGCTGCACCACGCCGCGCAGTCGCCGCTGCATCCGTCGACGCAGTCGCCGCTCCATACGCAGCAGTCGCCGCTGCACTCGCAGCAGTCTCCGATGCACGCGCAGCAAGCGCAGCAGGCACAACAGGCGCAGAATTTGCCGCACCAGTCGCCGGTACACCAGTCGCCGCTTCACGCGCAGCAGCAAATGTCGACGCAACATTCGCCGATGCACCCGCAACAGAGTCCGATGCATCCGCAACAGAGTCCGATGCATCCGCAACAGAGTCCGATGCATCCGCAGCAGAGTCCGATGCATCATCAGCAGAGCCCTATGCATTCGCAACAGAGCCCGATGCATATTCAACAGTCGCCGATGCACACGCAGCAATCGCCGATGCAGACTTCGATGTCTCCTCAACACTTTCTTCAACAACTGCAAGCACAAAGAACTAGTCCACAATTACCGACGCCCAGCCGCAGTCCGCAGGTGGGTTTTTCAAATTTTTTTTTGTATTTTAAGGTTTCCGTAACAACATGTAAACATTCATGCTGGATCTATACTTATAGGATCTTTACAGATACTGAAATTAATTTGTTCATTTGTTTTTGCTATGTATACTTTTAAAATGGAACTCTATATTATATTGTTGTATAATAAATCCACTAATAGAGGTACTTGTACTGCTAGACTTTGATTTTAATATACTTCTTAGCACTCTTGATTCTTTAATGTGTCTTTTCTATTCAATGGTTTGATTCCTACTTTCGTAGCCGTTCTCAGTGTATTCTTTCAAACGAAACTTTAAGTGGTGTAACCTAGCTATAGGTCCTTTCTCCTTTACTCTTTTCCGTCTTTATTAACTGTATCACTAAGGTGATATCTTCTAACTTCCATCTCTATGCAGACAATTTCAAGCCATATCGTCATTTTCAAGCGCCCGAGGCAGGCATTATCTAGAGACTGGTCAATGTGTACAAAAATAAAGGTTTAAATAAAATAGGTGTGAAATAAAAGTGGTCTAAATCATTATGGACTTGTTATAAACCCTAAAAATGACAAGATATGATTGTAGGCACCAGAGTACTCTTAACTTACTTGATTTTTTCTTCTCTCCGAACTTCGCAAATCAATAAGCACTCCACTAAGTATTTCAGAAACCGTTAAGAATCTGGGTATCATAAGGATTGCAAGCTGACATGGAATGTACACATCACGGAAAATAGCAGGAAAAGCAATTATCTTAATACTCTTCATTCCTTAAAATGCCTTCAAAGTATTATGACTTTCTCAACGAAGATTTCTGTTGTCCAAATAATTATCAGCCCAATTTTTGATTATGTTGATTTCTGTTATTTGGATACGACATAGGAGCAATTACAGGAACTTGAGCGCCTGCAAAACATGAATTTGGGTTAAAAAATGTATGACGAAGTCTTTTTCTATCGCAAACAGCTCAAGTGGCTGCCAAACCGATTTCGAAAAAATACCCGAATCCTTTGCCTCTTACGAGGGTGACACTGAAAATTCTTAGAAAATGTAAAACTGAACAAACTAGCAAGTTACTAGTTTTATTATATCTTTTCAAAATAATGTCCATTTACATCAATACATCGCTGCATCCGATGGAACCACTGAGAAATGCACTTTGCGCACTCGTCCTTAGGGGTCTCTTCGACGGCATTTTGAAATGCAGCCACTGGTTCCTCGGCACCCAAAAAAAATTTTTCCTCGAAGTTTTTCTTTTATTTTCGAAAATAAATAAAAATCGCAAGGTGCGAAGTCAGGCCTATATGGCGGATGACCCAGTAATTCCACGTCTGACGTCGCCAAGTGTCGTTTCTCCCGAATTTTTTTCCAAGACAAGTGGCAAACAATTGTTAGTGTACAACTCTGCAGTAACTGTTTTTCGATCCTCTAAAACAATTGTTGCATAATGATCTGTCCTTCCGAAGAACGAGGCCACCATCTTTTTTCCCATGTTTAAACCTCTCTTCACTTCTGTTGGCAAATCCTCTTAAGGAACCCAGACAGCAAACTGTCTCTTAGTTTCAGGATCATAACAATAAATCCAGCTTTCGTCACCTGTAAGTATGTCGAACAAGGCATTTGAGTCACCTCCGTTAAATATTTGAACCATTTCACGACACCAAACAACACGACGGAGTTTTTGGGCCTCTGTCAAATTATGAGGTATCCACCGGGCACAAAGCTTCCTGACCGCTAAATGTTCATGGAGGATTTTGTGCACTTGACTCATACCGATGCCTAAGCTTATCCAAATCTGCTGATAAGTCACTCTTTTGTCAGTCTCTATCATACACCGCACTGATGCTATCTTCAGTCGTCGCCGTAGAAGACCGTCCCTCACGCAGATCATCGGTGAGATTAGTGTAACCACGTTTAAACTCATTAAACCAGTTGTAAACAGTGGCACGAGATGGGGCCTCATCGTGAAACCAAAACGAAAATTTTCTCGCGTTAAATTCATGCTGACGTGTCACTGACAATTTTCACTTTGCCGCTAAATCGTAAACAAATGACAAATTAATAAAATACATACACAATAATATTGGCAAAAGAGTTCTATTTTCAAAATTTTAACATGTTTTGTTATTATATTTTTTCCAAGTGGCTAGTTCTAAAAACTTTCAGTGTCGCCCTCGTAGTTTTTAAGCCTTGCGACACAAATAATTGTAATGGAATCTACCATATCATATGCATCATTGACCAATAATAGTGTAATTATCATATATCAAAGCCCACAGAATTTTTCAGACAACTTTTAGGTACAATTTCTACATACAACACATCTGTAAAATTCAAATAGCTATAAATACCCAACTATATACATACTTTTAAGATAGTTAAATAGTAATGTGATTTTAATTATTGTCACTTTTATATGGAACTTTTGAAAAATTTCAGATTTATCAACAGTCACAAATTCAAAGCCCAGTTGCTTCGCACTCGCCACAGCTTCAGACTGTAAGTAAATCTATTGTCTGTTAAAAATTAATTTCTATACTATTATACAGGTTGTGATGTAAACAGTGGTCCACCTTTAAGGATTCGACAAAACAGATAATATGTTATAGTAAATTATCTGTTTTATCGAATCATTAACAATGGGCCACTATTCAACATTACACGTCCCTGTATAATAACATTTTTTTCTTTATTTAGTATTTATCAAAAATAACTAAATTTTTGATAAATACTTCATTTTAAAATGTATGATATCTTTCATTAGCTTTAACTTTTTATATTAAGTAGATGTAATATAATAATTTATATGTTTTTAGAATGATTACACTGCGGGCAGATTTTCAAGACCTGTTCCAGGTTGCTCACCATTACCAACACGTTTTGCAAGACCTCCGCAACATCAACAGGGTAAGTTGAAGATGAAAAAAAAGTTTATTTTTCATCTTGAATATAAAATATAATAATGATATATTTTACAGGCATGAGAGTTTCCTTTGGCAATCGGCAACAAACTTCTCCATTAGGCAGTCCACAGCCTTTGCCGTCGCCCGGCAACACAGCTAATGAGATGACTGTAAGTAAATTGTTTACTAAATTCTACCAGCATTGTTTCCGAAATGTATTTAGTATTAATTAGTCAATATAATAATTTTTTTTATTTTATGGATATACTTAGTCGGGTCAGAAGTTCTGTCAAAACCTTATTATTTAATTTTTTTGAATACTGGCTAGATGAACTTCACCAATTTTAAAAATATAACGTTTGCGCTTGCCGAAAATAAAAAAGACATTAATTTTCATTCATTTTCAATTATGGAGTGGTAGCGGTTATCGCATTGTACCGCTGTGGTTACGCGCCAAAAGAGATTTTCAATATTCTACAAAAATTGAAAATAACCCTACGAATTGTTTATCGCACTATCAAACGATTCACTGAAGATTCAAGCTTCGAAGATCGTAAGAGGACCGGCTGACCTCGTAAATCCTGTTCATAAATAAAAAATCTTAGCTCTTCAGATGGGCCTAAGCAGAACATCGGTCAAAAGAGTGATCAATGAAGACCTTGGAATACGAGCTTATCGTAAGAAGACCGGACATTTTTTGAACGAGCGTTTGAAAAAAATTAGGCTGGATAGATCCCGCGCTTTGTTACGGCGGTACGCAGGAAAAAAATGCCGCGAATTTTTTTTTCAGATGAAATGATTTTTAACATCGAAGAAAGTTATAATAAACAAAATGATAAGGTGTATGACCACAGCAGTGAAGAAGTCAGTAGGCGTATTACGAGGACATTATCCTTCGTCACTCATGGTTTGGCGTGGAGTCTCATATTCAGGCTTAACTGAGGTGTTTTTCTGTGAAAAAGGTATAAAAACCAGTGCCGAGGTTCTTTTAGTACAACTCTGGGAGAGGCCGCTGATTCCTAAGATACAGACTCGTCTAGTTTAGGAGTCAGAGACTTCATAAAATTTCTTGTGATTTATTTTTGACAATAAAAGAATTATTATTATTAATGGCACGCCAGACCCGGACCTCGATGACACTGAGGTCATCAGTATGAAAGAGATTGAACGTGCGATTCGAAGTTTGAAATGTGGTAAGGCTGCGGGACTAGACAGAGTTACTGCTGAAATGGTCAAGTATGGTGGGCCTCGCGTCTGGGACAGCTTTCATCTGCTGTGCAATTTGTGCTGGCGGACGGGGGATGTCCCGGATGATTGGCGATCCGCAGTCATTGTGCCTTTATATAAAGGTAAAGGTTCACATTTTGACTGCGGGTGCTATCGGGCGATCAGCTTGACCAGTTTAGCAAGTAAAGTTTACTCGAAGGTTTTGACACGTAGGATGCAAGAGAAATCGGAAAGATTTCTATGGGAGGCACAATGCGGATTTAGACCTGGAAGAGGATGCACGGATCAAATGTTTTCTCTCCGTATGATCACGGAAAAGCTTCTGGCTGTTAACCAGAAGATTTTCTGTGCTTTTGTGGATCTTGAGAAAGCATTTGATAAGGTTGTAAGGAAGAAAATGTGGGAACTGTTGCCGGGGTATGGTGTGGATGGCCGATTGCTAAGGGCTGTGCAGTCTCTTTACTGTGACTGTAAAGCCTGTGTGCGGGTAGGGCATGACCTGTCACCCATGTTTAGCGTCCAAACGGGCGTAAAACAGGGTTGTGTCATGTCTTCCTGGCTGTTCATACTGTATCTCGACAGCTGTTTACAAAAGCTGAAAGATAGCTGTTTGGGTGTGAAATTGGGTGACATAAAAGTAAATTGTCTGCTGTATGCTGATGATGCAGTGCTTATTGCACCATCAGAGGCAGAACTGCAGGCATTAGTCACGTGTATGAAAGAGGAATGTGAAATTAAAGGTCTCCGTTTGAATGCTAATAAAACTAAGGTTCTGGTATTTGAAAGGGACGAAGAGAGAACGAAGTGTGAAATATGGGTAAATCAGGAATGTCTAGAACAGGTAAATGAAATTGTATACTTGGGGAGTGCTTTTAGCCGGGATGGAAGATGTGATTTAGATGTGGACAGGCGTGTCGCTGCCGGGAACAAAGTCAATGGTGCCCTGACTGCGTTAATCAAAAGGCAAGGCGTAGCGAAGAGTGCACGCCTTGCAATACATAACGCAGTGTTGGTACCGACTTTGTTATATGGCAGCGAAACCTGGGTATGCCAGAAGAAGCATAAAAGTAAGTTGAATGCAGTGGAGATGCGATCTCTTCGTAAAATGTGCGGCGTTACTATGGCCGACCGAAAGCGAAACGAAGAGATTCGCAATATGGCAGGTTTGAAAGATGACCTTATCACAAAAATTGATAAGGGCGTGCTTCGGTGGTTTGGGCACGTTGAGCGAATGAGTGAAGACCGAATGGTGAAGAAAATATATAGCGCGAAAGTTAATATTAAAAGGTGTCGAGGTAGACCGAGACTAACTTTCGAAGACCATGTGAGCAAATTGCTCGAAGAGGGTGGGGTCAAGAGTACTCGGATACCTAGACGTGCATGTATGAAGAAGATAATGAATCTGAAAGAAGCGAAAGAGATATGTAAGGATCGTGACACTTGGCGATCTGTTCTCTCTGGCTACCCCGTCAGGGATTGTGCGTGAAGATAAGTAAGTAAGTAAGTAAGTATTATTATTATTATTATTATTTTTTAGAATAAGGGTGACAAACGAGCACACAGTCCACTTGATGGTAAGTGGTTGCTGTGGCATAGACATCTACATCTATCTTCGTTTGCGAATTAAAATGCAGATGCGTTGTCAGCCATGAGGTATAAGATAGAATGCCTTTTTTCCTGTAAAAAGGGTGTCCGGTTCTCTACATTCACCAGACGAAATACAGCAGCATTAAGCCCGCTTTTCACTATGGGATATGATATTGTTGCGCGCCACTATTAATGTCTTGTACATGGCAACACTAGTTACACTAGCGCCCTCTAGTGTCGAGTAAAAGAAAGTGTTGCGCGCCACTATTAATGTCTTGTACATGGCAACACTAGTTACACTAGCGCCCTCTAGTGTCGAGTAGCAGAACTAGGAGAGTCGAGATCCTTCCAGAAATTTCGGGACCGATATGTACTCGAACATTCTAGATGTCGCTACAGTAGAAGGTTCTGGAAACTGTCTGAGGCCCTATATAAGGCCGGTATAGACCACGACCGGGGCAGTATTGAATTGGCGATACAAGAGAATACTTCGAAGCGAAATAACGGCGAACTGTATTTTATTATTAGTGTGATTTTAGATTGTAATTAGTGTTGTGTAATTAAAGTGTCAATTTTGGTAATTCAATCGCCAGTTTTTAATTGTCTCGAACCCCAAACTCGTAACAATATAATATATATATTACATCCCGAGATATAAATTAATATCGCTCCCCAGACATTTCATATGGAACCGTTTACACTGAGCTATAATATATATTACATCTCAAGCTATAAATATTTTACGATCGACCGAGCGATATTTTCATATTATATTTCGTCCCCTGCACCCTGCCACCGTTCCGCGCCCCCGCAGATCGGTGTACGGGATAAAGGGGGGTAATCCAGTGACCAATGACGAATGCACACTGGTTAAAAGATATATCTCACAGTGTGAAAATCAATCGCGGGGTATAATTTATATTTCGGGATATAATATATATTATATCGCATAGTGAAAAGCTAGCCTTAAGCTGCTATTTTACGCTGGTATTCTGTGTGAGCGTGGTCCTTCCCCGGTCGTGCTATGACTATACTATTAATATAGCTGCAGCATGGCTCTACCACATATATAAAACGTAGTGCCAAATAAACGTACCAAAATACCGTCTTAACAAATGTTAAAAAAAGTTAAACCGTGTTAACAAAAGTTCCATAGTGGAACCTCTTTCTCAAACAATGTTCAAAAATAGACATTGGATATTCCAACAGGACTCTGCACCAGCTCATAGGGCACGAAGCACACAAAACTGATTGAGCGCCCGTGGAATTGACTTTATCGGACATGAAGACTGGCCCTCTTCTAGTTCAGATTTAAATCCACTGGATTACAAGATATGGCAACATTTGGAGGAGAAAGTCTGCGCTAAACCTCATCAGAATTTGGAATCTCACCGAGCATCTTTGGTTAAAGGAGTGGCATAAATAGATATGAAAAATAGATATGAGTGTGATGCGTGCTGCGATTGATGATTGGCTGCGTCGATTAAGGGCACCTATTCAAAATAGTGGAGGGCATTTTGAATAATGTAAATAAAATTGTATTCTTAATTAAATCACCTTTCATAATATCTATATAATTATCAAAAAGTGTATCACTAATTTTTTTTAAAGTTTTTGACAGAATTTATGACCTGACTAAGTAGACAATTTCAAAAATGGGAAGAAAGTAGTGTCACATTGTTGACATTTTAACAGATCAAGTTGAGCTTTCCATTGAAACTAATTGGAGGTATTGTTTCGTCAGCGACAGCAGCTACTCCAGCGACAGCAGTACAGTCCGATGGGTGCGGCGCCCGCGTCGCCGTCGCTAGCGCGATCGCCGCACGTGGCGCGCACGCCCACGCCGTCCGCGTCGCCCGCCGCGTCGCCCGCGCCCGCGCCCCACCCCGCGCCGCACCCCGAGCACGGCGGCGGCCAGCACGCGCACGCGGCGCCGCTGCCCTCGCTGCACGGCCACGGCGGCGGCTTCCGCCACAACGCGACGCCGCTTCCGCCCGGCTACCGCTACTTCAAGCCCGGCCTCTTCGGCGGCGCGCCCGTCTGGCCGAAGGACGAAGACAGGCGCCATCCCGCGCACCTCAGTAAGGTCTCAATCGTCAAGAGGCGAACGCCTCCTAGACAGAGATTTACAGGGAAGACGGCCGCACCCCGCTCCGAGAGCCGTACAGACGACATGGGAGAGACGAGCGACGGGAGAAAATATGTACTGTATGCGGACGGAATCGATTACACCCAAACTTCGGACGACTCCGCTCGCATGAGTTTCTCAAAGGACGATAACGACGATGAAATTGAAGAGTTCGTGGAGCATTTGGACGACGATGACATAGTCGTCGTTGAACCTGGGGCCATATCTCCCGAGGAACGCATAGCTACCGAAGAAGACTTTGAGGAGTTAATCGACAGCGGCAAACCTGAAGATGAGGCAGAAGAAGAAACATCTCAACAAGAAAAATGTTCCACTAGGACCGAAACTACTACAAAAACTGTTGCAGTTATTAGCCTCGCTACTGCTAAACAGCCGTCAGCGAGCATCCAACAGTATAAAAGAGTTAATCCGTCACAGGGCTCAACACTTTCACGAATACCAGTATTGAGTGCTACGGTGCTATCTCCGCACACTAATTCAAAAATTATCAATGAAGTGTCACAAGCGACTGTTGCCTCAGTTTCTATAGCCAACCAGACTATCTCTGTACCGGTCTTGAAAAATCTCGCAGTTCCCATTGCAAGTGTAACTGGACACGCTGGAGGACCCAAGCCTCAGATAAAAAAAGTTCCTCTTAATCTCACAAATTCTCCTTTGACAGTTAATATGTCATCTCAGTCCCTTTCTAAACCGATAAGTTCAGTTATTAGTGTAATATCGTCCAACGTACCAAAAGTTGCGAACTTAAATCCCGTAATTACACTTGCGACTTCGAATACCGGTAACACCAGACTTCCGGTATCGATTTTAACGCAACATCAGGTTAAACAAAAGATAGTAAAAACAATTGAAAAACCGATGGCATTATCACTGTCTAATTCGAAACTTTCTAGCTTGTCTGTAACACATGATGTGACTTTGCCGGCAAAAATTTTTCAAGACGAAGCGGCCTCTCCTGATAGTACAGTTTCCGGTGAAAATAATTCTGATATCCAGAATCCAACTACATCTGTATCTTTGCTAACTCTGACATCACATGGATCTTCCCAGAAAGAACACAAAACATTATCGATAATGAAAGAAACAAATAAAGATATCGACATAGAAAATGAAATAAGCCAACAAACGGAACTGCCGCACACGCTTTGTATTACCGACAGAACACCGCTTCTGTTAGGAAAAGCGGATATAAAGAGTCCGGATCCCATTCCTGAAAAGATTCCCGATAATATAATGGAAGGTGATGATGAAGATAAACCTGAGGATAACTTACAAGGAAATTTGTTGCTGGCTTATAATAAGTCAATACACGAAACACCAATTCAGAATACACCAGCAGAAAATAAACAAGATGAAAGTGTTGTGAAGACCATAAAAGCTATTGCTAATCAAACCAAGGAAATGGTTATTGACTCAAATATGCAAATAACATCTGATATGGCGCAAGATTCGGTTCAGATATCTATTCCTTCACCAACACCATCCCAAGAACGATACCTTAATGATATCACGATGCGAGAACACTCTGAAGCGGTTGAGGGCAACTCCAAACATGTAGAAACATTTGAAGACATGCTTTGTATTTTCGAAAATATAGCAGATGACTCAAAGACATATAGTATGAAACATCCAAATCAGAAACAAAACATGTCAAATACTCCTAATCAAAATGTGAATATAAACACACCCTCAAAACAAGATAGCAAAGAAGTTCAAGAACAACCAGCTTTTTTAAAACGAGAACAAGAGAAGCTGTCACTACAGTCTGCTACAGTGCCTCAATTGTCTCCTTTGTCACAACCAGCAGAATTAACTTCAAACATGGCAAATGTATCTCAACAGTTGCGTACTATTATGACCTCACTAAACACGAATACATCGAAAATGGAATCTCAAAATATATCTACTATGAGAAAATCTAATGATGCAACAACTCCTACGCAGGTTAACTTTGAAAATTTATTGCCTTCATCCAAAGTTGAAGTTACTGCTTCGCGACCTTCTCCTGTTCAAAGAATAGAAAAACCTACAACTTCCATTCAAAGTTCAGAAAGTATGTCTATAACTGCGGCTCAGATGATGGGTTCACGTGTGAACACATTATCGTCAATGAGCCAATTAAGAAAATCTCCTACTGTATCTCCAATAAACTCGCCAGTAGGTATGCAGAATACTTTAATGAAATCGCCTGCGCAATCACCTCGAATAACTAATCAATCTTTCATGCAGAATGAAGATTCCAATGTTGCGACAGTACCTTCGCAAGTAATTCAAATGCCGGCGCTATCAAAAATTCATAGTAACTCTTCTGCACCAGTCTCGATGATTCATTCGAACAATACGATTACCACTAGCGTAAGTAGTTTTCAAAAGGGCCAGCAATTACCCACAAGTATATTAGGTCATACTTTACTGCAACCTACAAGGCAGATCAACACTAGCAATCTTTCATTTAATTCTCAGAATATTAGTTCCAGCCAACCTCCAGCTTTAGTTATGACATCAAGGTCGGTAATTGGAAGTAAAGAACCAGCGCCAAATGTCACAGTACGGACACACGCTATTGTTAGCCCCGGAATGAGCCAAATGCAAATGAAATGTAATCAGTCATCTGGCTCTATAAATTTCATAACATCATCAAAGTTACTGCATACACAACTGACATCACCGTTAAAAAGATCAAAATCAACCGATGAGCCAAAAAGCGAGGTTATCGTTGGTCACATACAACCTACGAAGAGACATAGCGTGGAGTCGGTAATTGTTAAATCCGAGCCGATGGAAACAGACGAATCCAATGCAACAGCATCTTTAAATGAGAATACTGTGAATAAAAACACTCAGCCAGGTACAGGTAATCAAAGAAATGACGAATCTCAAAATGTCCTGCTAAAACAATTATTACAAACGACAACTTCTGCGGCAACTGTAGTTCCACAGCGTACCATGACAATACAGAGAACGGCACCTGCTTTGGGCACTATACCATCCTTAGAGGCTCAATTAGCTAGGCCATCAATACCACCGCCTACATTAGCTTTGTCTCAGGAAGTTGATATACCGAATAATTCTCCAAGGCATTTGACAACAGTGAGTTCTAATTTTGGCAATCGCCCGTCTATTCCTACATCCTCAATTACAATACAGACGTCAATTCCCACATCCTCAATTTCACCATTAATTCATACTTCAACGCAATCTTTGATGGATGTTAGAAAACAACCCATAAAAGTGATGAACAAGGAAGAAACTACATCAGTTCCGGAAAGTTCACCGACGATGAAATCAACACCAATCTATTCAATGAACTTAGAAAATCAACAGATGCTTCAAACAATAAAAAAGGAAGTCGCCCCACCACAACAAAGTCCGGTTCACAGACCTTTCACGCCAATGGACGTCAAAAAAGAATTGCTTGATGAAAGTTCTCAACAGTCGGCAACTTCTGGTGTTTCTACAGCTTCTGATCAAGGAAAATTAGATCAGCCTATGAAAGAAGAATATCCTGAAAGCGTTACTATGGATTCGACGTCAGAAACAAATGCACCCGAAACACCTTCTGAAGCAAAGAAACGAAAGAGGCGAGAATACCAACAAAAGAAGCGTAAACAGATGCAAATGAATATGAAAGCGGCTGCTGAAAATAATTTAAACACAACCAACGCTAAGAAACGACCTAGAAAAGGCTCCAGATATGAAGAAGATTATGACACATTTATTGACAATTTAATGACTCAACTGCGACTCTTACCGCCAATGCAAATTCAGGAACCAACGCTTACCACAAATTTCGCGGTTTGTCCGCTGTTTGGTTCTGGAGACTTGACTAAGCTGAAAAATAAAGACTATGATATTTTAAAAGGTGATCTTGTTGGAGAATTTGGTAATGCGAAAATACCAAATGTAGCGGATTATTACAACACTAAACCATTTGGTGATGAAGAACCATTACCGGAAAAACCACCAGCTTCTACTCAACGGGGCTTCTATGATCAAGAATTTCAACCAATCATATTTGACGAAGACCCCGAAGATAAGAAATTGGACTTCATCTGCAAAGAAAGAGATACAGATACACCTGATAGTATTATTAGCTGTTCTAGTCCTGAAGGATTCGAAATTGAGCCTGCTAATAGATTCCCTGGCTTAAGATTTATCGATGACGACGATGAAGAAGATGACAGTGATACGCCATCGGGTCGAGTTTCACCTATAATACCACTTATTGCGCCGATACCTATAAGAGTAAAACCTTTATCTTTGTATCAACTTAAAGATGAAGATGAAAATCAAAAATCAATTAAGAGCATTGACACTGATTCTCCGCTAAAGAGTAAAATAGATGATTCTCCAGGAAGTACAGAAAGCAATGAGAATGTTACAGTCACATTAACATTAACTTCGGGAGCCGCTGAAGATATTCTAGGTGTGCTAAAAGAACTGGCTGGCATACTTCACATACCGCCTCCGACGTCATATCAAATCATTGAAAGAACTGCTACACCACCTTCACATAAACTAGGACTTTATAGATCTAAGGGAAAGGATGGTAAAGAAGGAACTCCTATCGATATTCAGAGTATTTTAAATGGAGCAGCAAAATTCTGTCGGCATTGTGACGTGGTTATATTAGATTCAGTGGTCCGTGCAAAGGCTTCAGAATTTCCTCTACTGTCAGCTAATAAAGGCAACGCTGAAGAAATCCTTTGTGATAGCGATTCTGAATTATATTTTTGCAGTACACAGTGTTATGAAAGATTCGCGTGGCGGCCAACTAATATTATCCTTGATGGAAAATCTAAAACTAACATCAAGGATGAAAATAAGTCTGATATTGAGAACAATTTGTCAAAAGACAGAGACGATTTTGACACAGCATCAACAGAGAGTATGGAAACGGATGATTTGGATATTAAGCCTGATATTAAAGATGAAAAAATGGATCTTTCGTTTATCGATTCCCTAGATAACGACGAACTGATGAAGGAAGTTGGAGATGACGTTAGTGCTTTAGATGAAGACTTGAAGAGCGAAGAGCAAGATGAGAAAAGTAACCAAAGCGTTGAAAGGGAAAAATACAGGGGTATTCGATACAAAGCGTGGTCGCCGGGATGTATTGGTCCACCGGTTAAATACAAGCGTCCTACAGACAGAGAGCTTACAGAGTTAGTGTTCAAAACGGGTGTTGCTATCATGCCAGTCACTAATGAAGATACGCGTAAATGTGAGCTGTGTGGTATACAGGGCGATGGTGTCGGTGACGGTGTATCGAGACTGTTGAACTGCGATGTTGACAGATGGATACATCTCAATTGTGCGTTATGGTCAGAAGGCGTGTACGAAACCGTGAGTGGAGCATTAATGAATGTAGATGGCGCTCTCGTTGCGGGCATGAGCGCTACATGCGCAGTCTGCAGAAGACTCGGCGCGACTGTTAGATGCTTCAAGGTGCGCTGCGGTAGCGTCTACCACCTGGGCTGTGCCGTCAAAGATAACTGCGTTTTCTATAAAAACAAAACTGCATTCTGCGCCTCGCATGCTCCTAAGGTAAGAATTATTTATTATTTTTGTTTAAATAAATGTTTTGTGGACATTGTTGCATCCATGTGCGCGAAGTAACTGCTAACTAGACATATACAAATTTAAAAAAAAAATAGCTGTTAATATCATCAAACAATATGAAATTGTTTTTAAGCCAGTTAGTTGCAATCTATTAAAATCTTCAGATTTTTGTATACCACGGACAGATGTTGACTCATATTAAGGAAGAAATAAAAGCCAAGCGTAGCATGAAACTTTTATGCAAGTACTAAAAATGGATAAAAATAAAATAATTTGTTTAAATTTTTCTGTTTTCATTTGGTTTAACAATACTGTGGCCTGGTGGTCGGAACCTCCTGGTTAACAATTTTACAAAGTTACACTTTTTTGGGTTTCGGATCTAGTGGTTTTTCTAATTGTGTCATGAATAAACTAAATAAAAAAAACGTATGTCGCAAAATAATTTCATCCGACTCAGATAGATTAGAATAAGTGAGTGTTGTGTGTTGAATATCTCTTGTACGGAATATCAGAACAAGAGGGAGGATATAGTTTTATTATTTATAATAAGGGTAACAAACGAACACACAATCCACCTGATGGTAAATAGATGTGTGGCTCATAGACATCCACATTTATCCTCGATTAAGAATCCAAATGCAGATGCGTTGTCACCCTTATATACTAAGATAAAATGTCTCGTTATCAGTAAAAAGGGTATCCGGTTCTCTATACTCGCCATACGAAACAACAGCATTAAGCTGTTATTTTACGCCGGTATTCTGTGAGAGTATGGTTCTACCCCGGCCGCGCCGACTTATCCGTACTACAACTGTAATATAACTGCAGCGTGTGTTTGGCACGTTAAAAGAAATGTTGTCGGCGGCAGAACGAGAAAGACAACGAGCTGACGACGCTGAGCGTGCAGCGGCGCGTGTTCGTGTCGCGCGACGAGCAGCGCCAGGTGGCGTCGGTGATGCTGCACTCGGACGCCAACCACCTCATCCGCGTCGGCGGACTCATCTTCCTCAGCCCCGGCCACCTGCTGCCGCACCAGCTGCCCGCCTTCCACACGCCCAACTACATATACCCCATCGGATACAAGATCGTATGTTGTTACTCTTTGCTTTTTCTTTGCTTTTTTTATTAAAATCGCATAACGTTATTTGTAAGAAAAAAAAAAGACAAATAAATAAATTTTATTATTTTCTCATCATGAACAGAATTACATACAAATAAATTTAAATTGTTGTAAACTGATCCTTTTTAAGCAAGTGCCTGGTGCCTAAAGTAGGTTTCAGAAAAACCTTTTACACAGGCCATCAGGACCTTCGCAGATACACGCAGTAAGTTTAAGTTTTAAAAATAAACTCCCTTTTAGATACCAAAGGAAAAAACAACTCTTGATTAAATAATTTAAAATTAAAAATTTTGTACAGCCGACTTCAATATTAGTTATTTAAGAATAACTCAAAACTATTGGTCTGACCTTGATTAAATTAATATAGAACTACACGAGAACTATCAGCTTCCATCTAAAGAAAGAATCGTCGAAATCGGTTCACCCAGTACAAAGTTATAAGGTAACACAAAGAAAACACAGTCGAATTGAGCACCGTCACCTTTTTGGAAGTCGGCAGAAAAATAAGTGGAACTTAATTTAATTAGATACTAGTTAATTGCACAATTCAACTACAAACCCATAATGTTCTAATTATTAGCATAAGTGTCTGTAAGTGTGGGAAACCATGTGTATATATGTGTGCGAATGTGTGAGAATATATTATATCCAATGTGATAAATATTCATCATCATTATAGCCTAACATAGTCAACTGCTGAACATAGGTCTCCCATAGATTGCTTCATAAGGGGAATCATAAGGGGTTGGCAACAGCAGTTTTTTTGTTTAGTTGTTAAGAAGATGGCGTTGTTGGCCATTTCCTGGTTTGCTTCCCTCTGTTGCGTCTTACGACACCCACGGGACAATATTTATTTTTTTAGAGGTAGTGGATATTTTTACACCACCATTATACAATGTGTCCGGTTACCGGTGTCGGAGCTTTTAATGCTATAAAATATAATCAATTTCATCGACAAATCATGTCTCAAATCTCATTTAGACCTAGCTGTATTTAAATGGCAGCCATTTAAATTTTTCAGTGTCACCACCTGGACCCCGCTCATTAAAATTACAATATTCACCGATGTAGAAGTCCTACATTCTTAAAAGATGTCTCATTGGATAGATAAAGATACGCGTAATAAAATAAAAGAAAACTTTTAACTGCAAAATTGTATTTAGATCCTAAAAAGACTAAGAAAAGAAAAAAATGTAAAAAAAAATCGGTTATTTTTTCACATTTTCGACTTTAATGAAAAAAGCAAGTCATTTACCTAATGATTTTTTACATTAATCAGATAGATCAGAACATTTCCTAACCAAAAACATAACAATCTTAATTGTAACCAAAAAAAAATCAGTATTATAACTGTTTGAATATGACCTTTGAAAAATTTGTCGCCCTGGTTGCAGACAGACAAAGTGAATTGATGAGAAGAATTTTTTTTTTTATAGGAGAGGGGGCAAACGAGCATGCGGCTCACCTGATGGTAAGTGACTACCGCCGCCCATGAACAACTGCAACAACAGGGGAATCGCAGATGCGTTGCCGGCCTTTTAAAAAGGAGTACGCTCTTTTCTTGAAGGTCCCTAAGTCGTATCGGTCCGGAAAAATCGCTGATGGTAATCGATTCCACAAGGAGGTCGTGCGAGGAAGAAAACATCTTCTAAATCGCACAGCGGTGGACCGCCAATCATCCAGATGGTGTGGATGGTATCGGGAGTTCTGCCGCGATGTGCGTTCGTGAAATTTGGCGGCTGGGATTAATCCGAACAATTCCTCAGAGCACTCCCCATGGTAGATGCGAAAGAAAATGCAAAGGGATGCAACATCTCTTCGCAGTGCCAATGAATCGAGCCGATCGGAAAGGGCTCGGTCGTCGACAATTCGAGCCGCTCTGCGTTGGATGCGGTCAAGTGGAAGGAGCTGGCACTGGGGAGCCCCTGCCCAGAGATGGGAACAGTATTCCATGTGAGGCCGAACTTGCACCTTGTAAAGTAGCAGGCGGTGTGCCGGCATGAAATAGTGTCCCGCTCTGCTGAGCACGCCAAGCTTTTTAGAGGCCAGTTTGGCCTTCCCTTCCAAGTGACCACGAAACTGCACGTCACTCGATATGTCGACTCCGAGGATACCGATACTGGATGAGGCAAGAAGGGGAGTGCCTTGAAACTGAGGAGATACGACAAAGGGGTTCTTTTTAGCGGTAAACGCGCAAACTTGTGTCTTCTGAGGATTAAATTGGACTAGATTTAGTCGCCCCCAATCCGAGACTTTGTTCAGCAAAGACTCGACTTCTGACACAAGTTTGTTCCGGTACTCAGCGAAACACAACATTTCAAAATGCACGTAACTAAAAAGTTATTTATAAAAACTGTTCGAAATGACCTCCGCGTTGTTGGAGACATGTTGTAGCCCTTATTGCTACATGTTGAGTTGCACGTCTGATCATCTCCCGATCTTGTCGCAATTCATTTCCAACTTCGATTATTTTATTAATCAACTCTTCTCGTAAGTTAGGCACGTTCGCATAAACTCTTTGCTTCATAGTGCCCCATATAAAAAAGTCTAAGGGAGTTAAATCCGGTGAACGCGGAGGCCAAGCGATCCCTCCACCGCGACCAATCCACGGCGAATAGCGCTCATTTAAATAATTTCGCACATTTACTGCAAAATGTGCAGGTGCACCGTCAAGTTGGAGAATCATCCTTGCTCTGTGAGTTAATGGAAGCTCCTTTAATTCTTCCAAAAACTGTGTTTGCAAAAACTCTAAAAATCTTGGGCCATTCATAGTTTCTGGTAAAATTATCGGCCCAATTAAAATATCGTCTTTTATAATTAATAGAATCAGGCGTTACTTTGCGGAAATCCATTATATAAAAGCTTTTACAAAAATTTACTTCGCAAATATCCGCGTTATAAAATAAAATGATGTGTCTTACCTAGTATGAAGAAGCACCTCCCGCCCTCCCTCAATTGCGTGCACTATCCCCGTCACCACTAATCCCAGCACCGCTACTTCCAACACCACTACACTAGCGGTTAGCCACCGTAGAGTCTATATCACCTGAGGATGCCTCGTGTAGAGGCGAAACACGTGTCGTATTATCGTCAGTGGTGTGTCTTGCCTAGTGTAGTGGTGTTGGAAGTAGCGGTGCTGGGATTAGTGGTGACGGGGATAGTGCACGCAATTGAGGGAGGGCGGGAGGTGCTTCTTCATACTAGGTAAGACACATCATTTTATTTTATAACGCGGATATTTGCGAAGTAAATTTTTGTAAAAGCTTTTATATCGTCTTTTATTCCAGTCCAAACGTTCACTCGAATTTCATTTTGGAAAGTACTTTCTCTAACAGCATGAGGGTTTTCTTGAAGCCACAGATGCTCGTTACGGTGATTTGTATAACCCGATCTCGTGAAAGTGGCTTCGTCAGTCCACAAAATTCTTTTTAAAAAATCTGCATCTTGTCTTGTTCTTCTATTGATCCACGAACAAAAAACTGCCCTTATAGCATAATCAGGTTCGCGAAGACATTCGCCCGCCGAAAATGGTAAGGATGCAAACCTTCCCTCTTTAAAACTCTCCACACTGACCATTTTGTTAAATTAAGCATATTGCTTATTCGTCTTACACTGAGTCTGGGATCTTGTGTAATTAAACGTAATATCTCTTCTTCCTCCTCAGGTGCCACAAGCCGAAATTTTTCTTTAGCGGGTGTTCTGATCCCAAGTTCAGCTATCCGCAAATGTATCCTTACAAAAGTGCGAGCATTTGGTGTACGTCTGTTGGGAAATATTCTGGCGTACTCTGTGACAGCTCTGTTTGCGTTGCCGTTGCACAATCCATTTTTGAAAATATCAAAATAACTTGAAACTTCACCACAAACTTAAAAAGTTCCACAAAACGGTTTTTTTTTTAACAATAACAACAACAAGCGATCTTAGAGGGCCGAAAGTAGTGTAATCACAACGCGTGGCGAGGGACGACTGTTTTTGTTGTCCCAAGTACACTTGTTTAGAACATCAAACAATAGGCTTTGGGTTTTCTACCTGCTCTTGAACTATCATAAATGATCCTGCACGTGCAGCTTGCGCTTTTAAGAGGTCGTGTTTGATAAAGTACAATTCTTAAACTACTTAATTTACAATTAAGATTTTAACGTTTATGTTAAGGAAATATCTTGCTCTATCTAATAAATGTACAAAATTGATGAAAATGACCTACTTTTTTCATTAAAGTCGAAAATGTGAAAAAATAACCGACTTTTTTTTACATTTTTTTTTCTTTTCTTAGTCTTTTTAGGATCTAAATACAATTTTGCAGTTAAAAGTTTGCTTTTATTTTATTACGCGTATCTTTATCTATCCAATGAGACATCTTTTAAGAATGTAGGACTTCTACATCGGTGAATATTGTAATTTTAATGAGCGGGGTCCAGGTGGTGACACTGAAAAATTTAAATGGCTGCCATTTAAATACAGCTAGGTCTAAATGAGATTTGAGACATGATTTGTCGATGAAATTGATTATATTTTATAGCATTAAAAGCTCCGACACCGGTAACCGGACACATTGTATACATAGATATTTGCATATTTTATACCCAGCTTTATTAAAACCGAGGGAGTAAAATAGATGCCATCAAAAACATAACTTGTAAAAAAAACCAAGTCTCGCAACTCAGTACTTCTACCGTAAAAAGATGTGAGATCCATGTAATACCAAGTCGGTTAATTTATTCAATCCCTACTTAAAGGTCCTTCTATCTTAAGTTATTACGTAATTAGCTAACCTAACAACATCTTATAGTGACCATAACAAATTTAAAAATCTTACCTAAATTAACGAGACCTTACTTAAATATTCCGAGTTTATACAATGCCTATTTGGTTACTGAAAATTCAGGCTTCTAGTTTTATCCACAACGAAGTTATAGGGGTTCGAAAATGGCCTGAACTGCTTCGAGAAAAGGATGGTACGGCCGTGCCGCTTTTCTGCTCGAATTGGCGGGGGTACTGCCGTGCCCCCAAATTTTTAGTTGCTTTATAAGCTAATGTGTTTAGATGTTTTGTGTTAGACCTCTAACAATTTTCAAAATTCAAGCGGATAAATCTTCGGAATTTGGTGTGAACGTAAGGCAAATGTTATGTTATATTCAATTTTGCTAACATTTGGATATACTCGTATTAGAAGTTTTAGATATTATGTCTTGTATATTTCAACAGAGCATACGAGTTGTGGTGTGCAAAATTGTCTTTCATGCTTTTTAACTATTACAACTTCAATTTGAGCTTTGACTTAAATAACAATGAAAAAAACCATATTAACTATTATGGTGATAACATGATGATGCTAATGTCAAATGTAGATGTAATTAATGCTTTCATAAAGAATCATTATGTTGTAATTGTTTTTTTTTTAATTGATGTGACAAACAAACTTACAGTCTACTTGATGGTAAGTGGATATTTTCCATGAAATTCATAGACACCTGCAGCCAATTTTAAACAAAAAAAGCTACATATTCGTTATCACATAATGAGGATTAAGATGGAATGCCTTACAGCATTTAATTATATTGGTTATACATTCAAGTACTGCTAATTGGCTGCAGAAGTAGGGAAAACAGAGGTTGATACTTACCCAGCGTGACAGCCTCCTAATCATAAAAGGAGTCCTTCTATTTAGTAGTAGTATACGCGGCGCAAACTCGTGTTGTGTCGAGTGATGAATGTGTTTCGGTGTGCAGGTGCGCTTCTACTGGTCGATGTCGCGCGCGAACAGCCGCTGCCGTTACGTGTGCTGGATCTCGGAGGAGGAGGGGCGGCCGCGCTTCCACGTGCGCGCGCAGGACGAGGCGCGCCGCGAGCTCAGCGCGCCCACGCCGCGCGCCGCCTGGGCCGCCGTACGTACGCACGCACACACGCACACGCACTCACACGCGCACGCACACTGTGCTACGTGTGCCGGATCTCGGAGGAGGAGGGGCGGCCGCGCTTCCACGTGCGCGCGCAGGACGAGGCGCGCCGCGAGCTCAGCGCGCCCACGCCGCGCGCCGCCTGGGCCGCCGTACGTACGCACGCACACACGCACACGCACTCACACGCGCACGCACACTGTGCTACGTGTGCCGGATCTCGGAGGAGGAGGGGCGGCCGCGCTTCCACGTGCGCGCGCAGGACGAGGCGCGCCGCGAGCTCAGCGCGCCCACGCCGCGCGCCGCCTGGGCCGCCGTACGTACGCACGCACACACGCACACGCACTCACACGCGCACGCACACTGTGCTACGTGTGCCGGATCTCGGAGGAGGAGGGGCGGCCGCGCTTCCACGTGCGCGCGCAGGACGAGGCGCGCCGCGAGCTCAGCGCGCCCACGCCGCGCGCCGCCTGGGCCGCCGTACGTACGCACGCACACACGCACACGCACTCACACGCGCACGCACACTGTGCTACGTGTGCCGGATCTCGGAGGAGGAGGGGCGGCCGCGCTTCCACGTGCGCGCGCAGGACGAGGCGCGCCGCGAGCTCAGCGCTCCCACGCCGCGCGCCGCCTGGGCCGCCGTACGTACGCACGCACACACGCACACGCACTCACACGCGCACGCACACTGTGCTACGTGTGCCGGATCTCGGAGGAGGAGGGGCGGCCGCGCTTCCACGTGCGCGCGCAGGACGAGGCGCGCCGCGAGCTCAGCGCGCCCACGCCGCGCGCCGCCTGGGCCGCCGTACGTACGCACGCACACACGCACACGCACTCACACGCACACGCACACTGTGCTACGTGTGCCGGATCTCGGAGGAGGAGGGGCGGCCGCGCTTCCACGTGCGCGCGCAGGACGAGGCGCGCCGCGAGCTCAGCGCGCCCACGCCGCGCGCCGCCTGGGCCGCCGTACGTACGCACGCACACACGCACACGCACTCACACGCGCACGCACACTGTGCTACGTGTGCCGGATCTCGGAGGAGGAGGGGCGGCCGCGCTTCCACGTGCGCGCGCAGGACGAGGCGCGCCGCGAGCTCAGCGCGCCCACGCCGCGCGCCGCCTGGGCCGCCGTACGTACGCACGCACACACGCACACGCACTCACACGCACACGCACACTGTGCTACGTGTGCCGGATCTCGGAGGAGGAGGGGCGGCCGCGCTTCCACGTGCGCGCGCAGGACGAGGCGCGCCGCGAGCTCAGCGCGCCCACGCCGCGCGCCGCCTGGGCCGCCGTACGTACGCACGCACACACGCACACGCACTCACACGCACACGCACACTGTGCTACGTGTGCCGGATCTCGGAGGAGGAGGGGCGGCCGCGCTTCCACGTGCGCGCGCAGGACGAGGCGCGCCGCGAGCTCAGCGCGCCCACGCCGCGCGCCGCCTGGGCCGCCGTACGTACGCACGCACACACGCACACGCACTCACACGCGCACGCACACTGTGCTACGTGTGCCGGATCTCGGAGGAGGAGGGGCGGCCGCGCTTCCACGTGCGCGCGCAGGACGAGGCGCGCCGCGAGCTCAGCGCGCCCACGCCGCGCGCCGCCTGGGCCGCCGTACGTACGCACGCACACACGCACACGCACTCACACGCACACGCACACTGTGCTACGTGTGCCGGGTCTCGGAGCAGGAGGGGCGGCCGCGCTTCTTGTGCGCGCGATTTTAAAATAATAAAGATAACAAATTATCACTGTATTTTATTAACGTTCCTGACACCAAAATCTACGAGATCGAAAAAGTACTTTTAAGTGATTTCCGTATAAATTTCAATTAGATCTAGCAAGAATCGATATCAAATAATCCAATTAATAACAAAGTATTATGATAATGATTATTATAATCATTATCATAATATTAGTCAACAATATTGAAATTAGTGTAACTTTATTTTTAGTGAAAACACGTTTTATATTGTAAACATAAAGTGATAACAATTGAAATAACTCTAAACATGTTTTAATTAAAACATGTAACACTTGTACACATATAACACAACGCATTTGAATATGAGGGCGGCACCAAAAATTTCGGGACTCAAGGAAGTGACACAACATTACTATTTAAAAATGTATTTATTGCTCTTCGAAGTATTCTCCGCGAAATTTGACACATTTTTCCATACGATGGAACCAATCATTGAAGCAACCATTCCAATCGGAAGTTGGGGTCTCCAAAATGGCCGTTTTGTAGGCGTCCACAGCTTCTTCAGGTGATGAAAATCTCTGTCCACGAAATTTATTCTTTATTTTAGGGAAAGTATAGAAATCATTAGGGCTTAGGTCGGGGCTGTACGGCGGATGGTCTAATAATTCTATGTTTTCTTGCTCTAAAAACTCTTTTGTTCTGTGTGCGGTGTGAGAACTCGCATTGTCGTGATGGAGGATGATGCGGTGCTTGCAGTTCTCTTTACGGAGTTCAGAAACGACCTGTAGCAAACAAATGCTAGCATACCATTCTGCATTAACCGTTCTTTGTCCCTTAAGAGGAATAGTCGTAACATTTCCGGTTTTGGAGACAAACGTGGCCACCATTTGTTTTGCAATACTCCGTGAACGAACAATTTTTGTTGACTTTAACTCATATTCGAACACCCAAACTCGTGACTGGTTTTTTGTTTGGGGTTCGTACGCTTATATCCAGGATTCGTCACCTGATACGATGTTGTATACAGCATTTGAGGATCCTGCGTGGAATCTTTCGAGAGTTCTAACCAAGTAACGCGAGCCGCTTTTTGCTCTTCACAGAGCGAATGTGGTATCCATCGGGAAAACAACTTTTTTACACCTAATTGTTGATGCAAGATTATTTGTATTTGACTCATGCCAATGTCTAAAGTTGCCTGAATTTCGCGGTATGTCACATGTCGATCTTCCTCAATCAGCTTACGCACAGCATCAACGTTTTCTTGGGTGACTGCAGTTTTTGGACGATCTTGACGGGGATCATCACTGAGCTTGACACGTCCACGTTGAAAATCAGCAAACCAGCGATAAATTGTGGTTTTGGATGGGGCTTCATCACCAAATGCAGAAATCATCCGGTCAACACACTGTTTTTGTGTTAAACCACTTCGAAAGTCATAATAAATCATCGCTCTTGAATTTTCTCGAGTCAATTCCATTTTCTCAACGACTAAACAAGTTTGACAAAACCTTGTGACAAGACCGAGAATCTTTTTTTAAATAAATAAATGGTATTCGATTTTTAAAACCAAGGACTTCTCAATTAAAAATATTTTAATATGACAGCAACAGTGGAAATATTCCATTCCCGATACTTTTAGTGCAGCCTATGTATAATATAACGTATAGCTTTTGAATTATAAAAAGTGCTTTGTAAAAGCCAATTTTAAATGAAAATATTTTACTTTGATCTTGAAGCTAGTGCGTAATACGAAACAATATTAGTTACCATTATGTTAATGTTACTTAGAATAACATCCTTTACTTATATTTTTACTAGACTTAAACATTTACTAACTGTAATGCTCATATTACCGTTTTACCCTTAATATTAACGTTTTGCCCTTTAATACGAAAAACTTAAAATATTATAATAATTTTTTTTTAAATGTTCTTCATATTAGTAGTTTCATAAAAAATGTTTTTGTTTTTATATTAACTTGGGTACTACGCATTTATAATACTAATCATAAATATATTCTATATTGCTAATATTGTAAAATGTTGTGACAGGTGCTAGACGCGGTTGCGGCGTTACGTGAAAATCGCGAAGAAGAGGGCGTGTTGAAATTGTGGCCCAACTATGTCACTGGAGAAGATTTATTTGGTCTTACCGAGCCCGCCGTCGTACGTGTACTTGAGAGCTTACCTGGTTAGTCAATGTTTATCTCTTATGCTGCGTACACACTGATGAAAGGTAACATGTAATGTAACTGAACATATGTTTCCCGCATGCACGTGAATGTAGCCTCAGTCTGCTAAGAACACGCAAAGAGAATAGAGTGTGACGACCAATTGCTGGCTCCGACGGTTGTCAGTGTTTCATTATAAATAATACATCAGGTCTATAAAATAAACGCTCGACTTCGACGTTGGTGGCGTAGAGTTGTATTGACAAAGAGCTGGTGCAGAATTAATGGCCGACATGAGATTAATACCTTTGCTTTGGCCTTGTGTTATGGCCTTGAATGTGTTCACAATGAGACATTTATCAGGAAGATACAGTATTATGGTGTCAAGAACACAGCGTTTAAACTTATTATTTCATATTTAAGTAATAAAATGCAGAAAGTCATTATCAATGGTAAACGTTCCTCCGGGTCGTCCCTCAAGGCTCGATTCTTGGTCCATTCCTATTTTTAGTGTATGTTGACTTACCTTTACTTGTAGGGGATAATCATGATAAGTTATTATTTGCTGATGATATACTTCCTTGATTTTCAAACTTAAACGTCAATCATTTAAATGTGACTAGTGAATAATGCTATATCAAAATGAGCGCATTGGTTTAACGTTAATAATCTACATTTAAACGGCAATAAAACTAAATGTATTAAATTTACAACAACGAATGTTAAAAATCTGAATACCAATGTGTTTTTTAATGGGGGATAACTAAGACCCTGTTGAATCCTCTAATTTTCTTGGCATTACTCTCGACACAAAGCTAAGTGGGGCTCCCATATAACCAAATTAGCAAACAGACTAAGCTCTGCATCTTATGTTGTAAAAATGGTTAGAGATCTCAGCAGTGTCTAGACAGCTAGATTAGTTTATTTCATTTAATTCCATAGCATAATGTCTTATGGGATTTTGCTATTGGGAAACGCGACCGATTTAGAAACTTACGTGGTAGAGCCATGCTGCAGCTATATTAGTAGTATAGTTGGGTAGCACGAATGGGTCGGCTCGACCGGGGAAGGACCACGCTCTCACAGAATACCAGCGTAAAATAGTAGTTTAACACTGCTGTGTTTCGTAAGGTGAGTGTAGAGAACCGGAGACCCTTTTTACTAGAAACGAGGCATTCCATCTTAGTCCTCACGGGTGACAACGCATCTGCATTTTGATTCGTAATCGAGGATAGATGTAGATGTCTATGGGCCACAGCAACCACTTACCATCAGGTGGACTGTGTGCTCGTTTGTAACCCTTATTCTATAAAAAAAAAATTTTTTGTTTTGCAGAAGTGCACTAGAGCTATTTACAATCTTAAAACGAGAGAGTCTTCTTGAGAAAAATTTAAAGACATAAATATATTAACTTTGGCTTCTCAGTGTATTTACGAAAATTTAATGTATGTTCACAAAAACAAAGATAGTTTTAGTAAACAAAGTGTTTTACACTTTGTAGACACTAGAAATAAACACAAGCTAGTGATACCAGTCTCTCGACTCCACGGAGTCAGTAATTTATTCTTGGGGCAATTTACATATACGCTATTACAACAAAGTCCTAGAAAATATACAAGGTTTCTCTCTATTATCAAGTTTAAATATTTAATTAAACAAAAAGTGTATGAAAAGGGTTATTATAAAATAAATGAATACATGGTTGATAATTACTCTTAGGAATGAGGTGGTTGTTTCTTAGCTGTTTCGAAAATAAATTTTGTATATTGTTTGCAACTGATTATTCGTATATTGTAAAATTTATTTTAAAGAAAAGTCCTCCTGGGTTACTTGTTGGTTCTTCCTAGGACAGAGGTTTTTTCGAACCAGTGGTAAAGTAAAAAAAATGGCTTTCAATAAGAATTATTTGTAATCAATATTGAATAAAAATTATTTTATTCTATTGTATGGCTTTCTCTTTACTCCACGATTCGTATTCGTGTTAATTTTTTTTTATTTTATGTTACATTGCGTGAGTCTGTATGTGGCATTAAATTATAATATGTAATAAGGTAGAGGTGTGTGATATCTTGAGTTAGAGTAGTATTGATGTGCAAATTAAATCAGACCTGGAGTGGCGTACTAAGAACTTTATCTGTTTGTCAAGTGTGGTTATTACGGTAAATAGGTATTTTCTACCGAGTCGTGTTTCAAAATGCCAAAGTCTTGCTAAGTTGCTACGGTTGGCATATGTGTGTGCGAAATGTAGCATTCAGTCGCCGTATCGAGCTTCCACGAACCGACCCGGTCACCGCGACTGAAGTTTTGCATGTTTGCGCATCGGAGCGTGTTCGAACGTGATCTCGTGTTCCGAGTGTGAGCCGGGCGGTCGTGCTGATAGGTTATTTGTGCGTGTGCGTGTGCGCAGGCGTGGAGACGCTGACGGACTACCGGTTCAAGTTCGGGCGGTCGGCGCTGCTGGAGGGCGGGCTGGCGGTGAACCCGTCGGGCTGCGCGCGGTGCGAGGCGCGCGCGCGCTGCGCGTGGCGGCGCAGCGCGCGGCCGCGCCCGCAGCCGCCCGCCGCCGCGCACGCGCCGCACGCGCCGCCCGCGCCCGCGCCCTCGCCCGCGCCCATGCCCGACTACCCCGCCTGCCCCTACTCCAAGCAGTTCGTGCACACCAAGAGCTCGCAGTACAAGAAGATGAAGCTCGAGTGGCGCAACAACGTCTACCTGGCCAGGTACGCCACGCCTACACCTTTATACATACCTCACAATTAAAAACATCGTAAAATATTATTGCCATTTTGAAATATAATTATAAGTCTGTTAAAAATAATAAACAATTGTAAAACATATTATTTCACTACAAAACATTACTAAATATGTATTTATTTATTTATTTTCAGGTCTAAAATTCAAGGATTAGGCTTGTATGCGGCACGTGATTTAGAAAAACATACAATGGTCATAGAATATATCGGCGAAATTATTCGCTCAGAATTATCTGAAATACGTGAGAAGAAATATGAAGCCAAGGTAAGAAAAGCATTGCGTCAGTATCAACTTTACACTTCGGTCTTGTATCTTGATCTTGAATGGTATTTTTAATAATATTAATTTTTTATTATTGAAAATGTTTAGGCAAAATATTAACCGTTTGAAAATTGAATTCATAACGCACGCTCGGAACGTGCATAGCACCGTAGCAAGGTCACCGCCGCCCCTCCGCGCGCTCGTATTCCATTCGAAGTCGTGTCGAACGGGACGCGTCGAGAGAATCATTGTGAGGAACTACCGGTTGTAAAGGGCGCGTGTGTAATTATAAAGTCGATTTAAGTGCCTCTTATTTTTGCGTTGTTTTTTTTGTTTGTTTTACATGTCAATGAGGCTGAATTTTGAGTTTGAGCGATTAATTAACGTCGTTACAATTAATTAGCGTCAAGTGGTATAGTGGTTGCATGCATAAGTGCATTCTGACAATATTAATTCGCGTCAACGAGTTGCTTTGTGCCATTTGATTTAACTCGGAGATATTTTCCTGTGTCGGTTACAACCGCTAAACTTTGTGACCCGCGAGAACCAGCGTTCGTATTAGATTATAGATTTGTGCTAATGGACGCTAGACTTTGACTGACACCGAGTGACGCCGCTGGAGTGATACCACATAGGGTGGCGGTGCTGGAGTCAGGGTTGCTGCTGATTAAAAAGGGCTAATTCAGGTTACACATATATACACTTCTCACACACTACTTACATTCACTACACTTAACGCCTGAACGAGCCTTGTGGTCCTTCTTCGCTTCTGAACCAGGTAAGTCGCATTAAGTACCTAATCTATATATATTAAATATCCATAGGCATTTGTGTTATCCATCCTTAGTTATCCGTCGCGTCTACAGCTGTATGGGCCCCTGTATAGTCGACCTTTGTTGGGACACCTAAGGGCGTGTACAAAAAATTTAAAAAAAATTCAAATACCAAAATCTAAGAACACACTTCAAACATGTGATTATTTCAATCTAGCTGCACTGTTTCATATCAATAAGTACTGGTTATACAACTTACCTTTTATTTAGTCATGACGATAAATGAATTAAAAGAAATTTTACCAAGAAAATTGTGTCTTTTATAATAAACGTATGATTGTCTTATCATTATTTATAATTAAAAATAGGTTGTTCTGTTCTGTGTATGCACTATTGTTTTATAGGATAAGGGTGACAAACAAGCACACAGTCAACCTGATGGTAAGTGGTTGCTGTGGCCCATAGACATCTACATCTATCCTCGATCGAGCCGACCCATTCGTGTTACAACTATACCAGAAATATAGCTGCAGCATGGCTCTACCACGTATAAGTTGTATGCAGGTTATTCATGGAACTGATACCTAGATGAGGCGTCAGGCGAAACTGGAAGACCTTAGAGTATTTATAAGCTAGCTATAGAGCACGCGTAGCGCTCATTGCCAATTATGTCAAGTGTAAATAGGTGTTCTATAGATACTGTACATAGATGAAGCGGTTAAATGGTGATGCGCCATGATTGACGCTTATGTGTTAATTAAATTAAATTTATAATTTTAATTAATTTAAGTAATAGGTAAGTATTTAGTAAATATTGGGTAGGCAAGTAAATATAGCTATGGTAGATTTTCGCAATCAATAAAAACAGGAATAAATTTATAAAACGATGGTTATTAAATAAACACAAAATTCTAATTAGGTTACTGCCCCATAAAAAGGTTCAGTTTATTATACAGGGTTATTTTTCAAAGAGTAGCCAAAGTAGAATGAGATTTTTGGGCCTGAAGTTAACTAATTGGTTTATATTAAAAAAAAATGGCTATATTTATCTAGAGTTAAATCCAAAAAACTAGTTACTTTTACAATCTAGATTTCGAAAAAACAATTTTATAAAAAATAAGTTAAAAAATCGATTGTATTGATGTAATCTCTTTTATATTTATTCGTATCCAAAAAAAATTCAAAAGCTTCTAAGGTTTCCTTCAAATTCTATGATTATTTTGCTTCATTACTTTTATTAATATATTCATTTCGAAATAAAATAAATTATTCGCATAAAGAAAAATGAAATAAACCTTTAATGGCAATAAATCGATTACCATAATGAATACACTCTTTCTCTCTCTTTAGTTTCTGAACGCTACTTCTTTTTAGTTTGTGCTACCTACCAACAAAGGACTTCTCATTTTGAAACTTGACTGTTCAATCTTCACTTAAAGACCGATTTTCGATTTGATTGGAAACGAGCGCAATATATCCGATTCTCGATTAATTTCAGTATTTAATATCTATTTTCGATTATTTTTCTGTGTTAACTAGGGAGATAAAAATATGTTCACACATAATATCTACCAAAGAATAATAAAAAATACAAAATATCAACATGCTAACAAATAACAGTAACAACAACAATTCAAGTAATCGATCTCAAATTGATATGCCTAATATTCACTTCAATTAGTTATTGTTGTTGTTTAGGCCAAATAATTAACCAAGACGCACGACGGCGTGTCCTTCCGATGGAATTTAAAGGTCACCGTCGGCCTCCCTCTCCCGTGCGGGTCTCTCGGCCGAGCGCTCGGTAGCCTGACGCGTGGGCGAAGTCAGTTGGTTGGGCGCGGCCGGTGTCGTTAATTGTGCGCGCACGCCGAGTCGATAAGACGGCCTGGAATTTTACGCTCGGAACCGCCTCCTTTGATTTTGAGTTGGGCGCGGCTGTAGTGTCGATGTTTTTGGAAGTTAATATTGAATCGTTAAGTAGCGTACCTCCTATGGCGTTGTCTTAATTTGTACGTTTCGTGACAACGAGGCTGATTTTTGAGTTTGAGTGATTAACTTAACTTCGATTACCATTAATTTGCGTCGACGAGTTGCTTTGTGGCATTTTAATATCGTGCGAAGGAATTTTGCTTTGTCGTGTGGAACGCTGAACCTTGTGACTCGAGAAGAGATCGCGGTCGTGCTCGTGGTTATAATTTTAGGCTAAGTGAAACTGGGACATTGAACTTTGACCGACCGTTCTTAAGTTGTGCAGCGTGTCACTTGTTTTAATTTCGGTTAACGTTGATTTGGTTGAATTTGAGGTCAATTAAATGTACAATGAAGTTGATTTTTTTTTTTTTTATAGGAGAGGGGGCAAACGAGCATGCGGCTCACCTGATGGTAAGTGACTACCGCCGCCCATGAACAACCGCAACACCAGGGGAATTGCAGATGCGTTGCCGGCCTAATTCGATAAACTAATATAGTGAAATAAAAGCAGAAGGTTTCAATTGGTGAACGCCCACTGGAGGGATCGCACATTTTGAAGGAAAGCGGCGCCTGTGGGTCCGCTCTCAGAATACGTCGGTGCCGTCAGGTTACATCTACACACTTTCACACATTACTTACATACACCTCACTTACCACCTGACTTCGCCTTGTGGTTGACCCTACCTCCGGAACTCGGTAAGTTTTTGTTTGCTTATCCAGCCCTTATATATAATAAGTATCCATAGGTCATTGGACCCGAACTCTCTGGTTGCTCGTCGAGTGTATTACTGGTGGGACCTAATACAGTCGACTTCTGTCTGGGCAACTAAGAGCCGTAACAGTTGTTTTAACTTTCGTTAATCGTTTCACCATTTTGTTTCCTAAATAATCACAGCTTTTCTCTGGCGATTTTATACTCATCCTGCTTTTATATCTTTAAGTAATTATAGTGAAAAATACCCTGTTAAAGTGTAATAACTGTGAAAATCGACCGGTATAGTGTAGGTAATACATAAAATCAATTTTATTATATATATGTTTTTTATTTTATTATATATTCTATAATATCTCAGCTCCTAGATTGACAAATCTTGCCAGATTTTCAGGTATGAATTGTTTATATATAAGCTTTCAAATGGTCCCACTTTCATCTTGTTAACATCTGGGCCCTAGAATGTATGGAGACGTTTCCTGCTCCTTTTACATTGAAGTTCAAATCTATACAAATAAATAAAATTGAAGTGTCTGTGTAATGTCAAAATAACAGCTTTTTACTAAATGCATATGAAAGTATATACGGAATATAAAGGATCTTTACTTCTAATACTTTAATTATAATAATTATTACGAAAGAATAAAAATCATGTTTTAAATAATATTCGAGTACAACGTGGCACGTGCTGTGTCGTCCCCGCCGCGTGCCTCTCGCTATACCATTATTTATTTTGTTTATTCCGGCTAACCTCCGAAATGGCTAAACTGATTTTGACGCGACTTTCATTGGCAAGTAGCTAATGTTATAAGGAGTAACTTAGAGGCTACTTTTATTTTAGAAAAGTAATTCCACGAAGACGAACTCGCGGGGAACAGCTTGTAAATATATAAAGACAACATTAGTAACGGGTAGACATTGTGTTAATGTGGTGTACTGTACTTACGTGTGTGTCTGGTGGCTTCGGACAGAACCACGGCATCTACATGTTCCGGCTGGACGAGCGGCGCGTGGTGGACGCGACGCTGAGCGGCGGGCTGGCGCGCTACATCAACCACTCGTGCCAGCCCAACTGCGTGGCCGAGACCGTCGAGGTGGACCGCCAGCTGCGCATCATCATCTTCGCCAAGCGCCGCATCGCGCGCGGCGAGGAGGTGCGCGCACACACACACGCACACACGCATGCACGCACCTATACACACGCACGCACGCACGCACGCACAATCTAATTAATAAATAATTAATTACATTTAATTATAATATATAAATCCGTGTAGTGGTGGGTAAGAATACCCACTGCCCCATATCTTTCCGTGGGTGTCGTAAGAGGCGACAGAAAGAAACTGAGGCAGAAGGTGGGCAGCAGCATTGTAACGTAGCACAACGTTGTAAAATTTGGGAGTGTGTCAACGAGGGTTGCATACCTTATACTCATAATCAACAAACGGTATTCGCTAAGGGTCATATAGGTTTACGCATCAACCTCGCCACATCCCGATGAAGAGATGGAGGAAATGTATAAGGATATATCTTGAGCAATGCATTCCTCCAAAACCCACTATACGGTGTTAATGGGAGACTTCAACGCAAAACTAGGCACAAAAGAGAAAACGGTGAATTGAAAGTAGGGAAATTCGGAATAGAACAAGGGAACCCAAGGAACCAGCAGCTGGCCGACTTCATGGAGAAAAAGGGACTCTTTATGATGAACTCTTTCTTCCAGAAGCGGCCTCACAAAAAGTGGACCTGGTTAAACAACAGCGGTTCGACAAAAAAATGAGATGACTTCATTATGACGACTAGACGGCAACTGTTCAGTGATGTCTCAGTGATCGCGAGGGTGAAAACTGGTAGCGATCACCGAATGGTTAGAGGCACACTGAACCTAAAGGTTAAGTTGGAGAGGTCTCGTCTAATGAAGTCAACGCTCTGTCCCCCTCAAGCTCTAATCCAAAGTCCCGAAACCTTTCAGCTCGAGTAACAAAACCGTTTTCAGTGCCTAGAAGATTGCATTGCAGTGGACGATATGAATGACACGCTCGTGGAAACTTGGTTCTGAAAGCGGGTGGAAAACCGGTACTTGAAGTCCTTCAGAATCTCTTTAATTCCGTCCTCCATGGTGGCACGATACCGACTCGACGACTTCCAGCCTCCCGAACAAGCCGATTTCCGAAGAGTCTTTAGCACCATAGAATACATACATACCTTTCAGCAAATTGTACAGAAGACCAAAGAATACAAACTGCCACTTTGTCTTGCGTATGTGGACTCTGAGAAAGCTTTTGATTCCGTCGAAATTTGGGCGGTGCTACAGTCCCTTCACCGGTGCCAAGTTGACTGTCGGTATATCGAAGTGCTGAAGTGCTTGTACAGTAGGGCTACGATGGCTGTCCGAGTACAGAACCAAAGTACGAAATCTATCCAACTGCAGAAAGGTGTTAGACAGGGTGACGTAATATCCCCGAAACTTCACCGTTGCATTGGAAGACCTTTTCAAGTTACTGGATTGGAAAAGATACGGTATTAACGTCAATTGTGAGTACATCACTCACCTTCGATTTGCCGATGATATAATTCTTAAGGCAGAATCGCTGGAGGACCTAAGCACTATGCTCAATGACCTCAATAGTATCTCCCAACGGATAGGTCTTAAGATGAACATGGACAAAACAAAAATCATGTTTAACGTCCATGTGACACCTATGCAGGTAGTTGTTGGGTGCATTAAGCTCGAATATTCTATAAAAAAAAAAAAAGAAAAAAAAGTTGTTGACGAATATGTTTACCTGGGACAAATAGTCCGACTAGATAAGTCCAACTTCGACCGAGAGTTCAATCGACGGATTCAACTCGGCTGGGTAGTGTTCGGGAGATTACGAACCTCAATACTAAATTATACAACCAGTGCGTGTTGGCAGTGATGACTTACGAATCTGAGACGTGGTCCTTCACTGCTGGCCGTACGAGGAAGCTCAAAGTCGCTTAGCGACCTATGGAAAGGGATATGCTCGGCGTTTATCTGCGTGATAAACTTAAAAACGGGGATATCCGCAATAGAACCAGATTAACCAACATATCCCAAAGTATTAGTAAGCTAAAGTGGCAATGGGCCGACCATTTAGCTCGAAGAATCGACAACCGATAGGGATGAAAGGTTCTCAAGTGGCGGCCTCGTACCGGTAGGCGAAGTGTAGGGCGTCCTCCCACTAGATGGAGTGACAACCTGGTAAGACATACAGGAAGTCAATGGATGCAGGTGGCTCGGGACCGTGCTTTGTAGCATTCCTTGGGGAAGGCCTATGTTCACCAATGGACTTGTGAAGGGCTGTAATAATGATGATGAATAAATAATTAAATGTATGACATATTTAAAAAAATGTCTCGAATTTGTATATAAAATACGAAGCAACTTTTTCTCCGACCTAATATTTCAAGTTTCACATGATTTCAGGAATATGCTATGTACGATTTATTTTATGCCATCTGTACTTCTGGTAATAATTACTTATTCTGTCAAATTTCCACCATTTAGAACAAAGATGTTATTGAAAAAAGGGGTTGATTTTTGCTGACACTATTTATCATTATTACGATGTTCTTAATGATAAGTATTTATTGATATTCCCTATCCCGCTCACTTTCCCTCAAATCTTAGATCATTGATTGAGCGATTCTTATTTAGTTTAACTATTGTATAAAATATTTACGAACCCAAACTTTTTTCATAAAGTAGTAGTAGTAGTAGTAATGAACTTGTATGTTCTGTAGGAATCGTATAAATATTAATGGTTTGCATTGCGTTGATAGCAATTACGATATAACAGTGAATCTCTTACGAACAATGGTCTTCCATACAAGTCTCGCAAATATTTGTGAATCAGTTTTCTAATTCTAGTCTTGGTTCTTTTTGCAATATTTTCGCAAATTCCAGTGTTAACTAATTATAAATTATGAACTAATTATAAAAACAATATGATTTTACTTATTCCTGTACATAGTTTTTTGTACACCTTTGTAAAATGGTTACGCCTGTACATAACTCGATCAGTCCGGTATATACACAGATTATAATTACTTCTATATACTTTTATTTATATTTATTACATAATATATAATATTTTTGGTTTGTGCAGTTGGCTTACGACTACAAGTTCGACATAGAAGACGACGCGCACAAGATAATGTGTATGTGCGGAGCTCCCAACTGTCGCAAATGGATGAACTAAACGCACTCCCTGGATACGCGGGTACAGCCCTGGACATGGTGTGCAGTCTTTCACTAATTAGTGAGCACAGTAACTTAGCAAGCTCTTAGTAAAGGCTATGAACTTAGTTTTATGTACCAAAGTGATTTTACATCGTGTAATATAGACCTATATTTTAACATAATATTATGGATTCACTTTTATAAGCTGACGTGTGATCTTACATTATCAATAAGACAATATCTACAGAGTTTTACACATATTTTTTTCGTTTTACTGTAATTTTGTAACTCACTTTAAAGATCGAATATAAAAAGAATAATCAAACATTTTGTATATAATGTTAAATGATAAATCATTGTTGTTACATTTTGACATTTTAGATGTGAAACTTCTCCTAATGTACGTAGGTTAGTTTTTAATACATTTTTTCATGTGTTCTATAGATATTCTACATGGCATATAATTACTATTGACATTTTTAAATTCATCATGGAGATATTTATTTACTATTGGTATAAATGATTTTCGTCTAATTGAAAAAAAAAAACAAACACTAAATTGGGCAATTAGAAATAGCTTGTAAGCGATGTATTTTATTGCTTTTACCCAATGATTGTTGTTACTGGTTGACTTTGTTTCGATAATCTCAGTGGTGAATAATTAGGTTAAGTTACAAAATGAACGAGTCTGCATTTAGTACGCGTAGAGCACGATATAGTTGTTTAGAGACGTAACGTAATGCCACATTGTGCCTGACCCGTTTTGTATGTTACGTAGTATGTTCGTGACGTCGTAGCTTAGTACTGCAGAGTGCAGAACACCACACGGCGCCTTCGGTCGAATAGTTGTATACTAGCTCTTACGTATTGTAGCGGGGCGCGCACGAATTCATGCATCGTGAACATACAGAATTTTAGTCTTATAATTGTTAATATTATTTTAATAAGTGTGACCAGGGTTACATTATAATGGCCATATTTATTTTCATATTTTTCTAGAAGACACTTTATAAGTAGAACGACGACATTCAAAATACATTGCTGTACAGGTGTTCTTATAAATATCTTAATATTTAAATGTTGACTTTGTTCCCTCATTCTTACAGATCTCAAATTTTAATCAAACTTTGTCGATTTCTCTAAAACTTTTTTTAATGCTTGAGCGTACTATATAAGTGCTTAGTATTGTTTCGGTTCCACCCAAAAAATTAAACATGTCATACAATTGATTGAATTAGGCTTTAAAGAAGTATTGAATCTAGGGATCCGGGATCTGTAATCACGGATGCTAATGTACATGTTGTGAACGCGAATAGCCCGTTTGAATTCGTGCGTGTGTGTAGGTAGTATAATTTTTATAATATTGTATGTAGTGTCGTGTGATACCTTACATGTTGGCGTATGCGTAATTAGGGGCATAGCTGCCGAGACTGGCGGTCGGCGGAGTTGTATGAGTCGCGTAGTATGTGCTTAGGAGACGGTGAACGATAGTTGTAATAGATGGAATTTTGTTAGAGTTGAGGGGTTCTGCGCTGTTTCATAATTACCACACGGAAGCGTGATAACTTTTATATGTAATTTTACGTACATAACATTTGAGGATTATTATAACGATTCGAAGCTACAATAAAGTATGTTATATTATGTTATAACTGAAGTTCAATTTGCAATGTTCTCACTAAACGCAAGGGTCTCAGGTGGTCAGTGAAGAAGCGTAAATATATAGAATCATTATAGTTAAACTGCTTATATCTGACTAGTGTTGTAATTTTGCTTCGATATTTTAGTTAATTGAGTGATAGTAGTGGTCGGAAATGGACCGAAACTTAGGAGTTGGATAAAATTTAAATGAAACTAGATTTTATTAAAAGAATGATAAGATCAAAAATCAAAATACCGTACTTGTAATCGGCACGTAGATAGGTAATGACATAGTAAATTCCTTTGAAGCAGTTATACATTAATAACTTTTACTATCCCGGCCGTTTGCGTAAGATGAAATGTGTAATCAGTTACATCATAGTCGTTTAAGGGAGGCTGCCGTTGTGTGTACCTTTTTTCATTTTTTTTTACACGAAACGTCATTCTTGAAAACACACCGCATAAGAACAGAAGCAAAAAAATTGTCAAAATGATATGATATTCAAATGTTGATAGGGACCAGGAAAACACACTATTGTGGTCTCCCACATAAATACCTCTCTGGCTCTCTGATGGTGATGTTTGCAACCTCACCATGAGATTGGGGAGTAAACCCGTCAATGCTTCTCCACTCAATCGTATCTTACATAGGATGTTCATCCTTCCTAATTATAAGCTCAACTTTGAAGCTTCAGTAGAAAACTGCGAGGGCTGGCAAGATTAATCCCCCTTGATAAGACCGTGGATTCTCAGAAGACATGTGCTTATAGAAAGCATGTAAATAATTCACCGGCCTTTTACTGCCAAACACCTGTTTGCACCTGATTTGAAAAACAGGACTCTGTAAACATCTATGTCATATTATCTTGAGCCATTTTGGAGTAGAATATTTGGTATCTTCTTCGATCTCTTACACTCACTCCTGAATTTATCAGCGATCTCTGGTCTCAGTTTCCAGAAACTCTTCACGTCGGTTATGGATTATACAACACCTTGGTCATCGTTCTGGGTTCCGAAAATAGCGTGGCGCTCTACCTGAACCGCTATACATCGTTCATCCCTATTTCTAGGGTCCAATTATGCCTCCAGCACACTGTACACGAGACACATTCCTTTCCCTGAAAATTAAAGGCTGCTCGTAAGTACAGGAGTATTGATTTAGGTTATGGCCGCCCTACACAAAACTCTACACCTGGAGTGCTATAGTGATATTAGATATTCGATTGCATAGGCTCTGCTTCTCATACACTGCTAACCCACACCCTATCATATAATGAATAATTTTCTCCTTCATGCCCGAATCGAGATTTATCCTTGGTACTTACTTTATGCAATGTAATTTTAAGTGTTAAATGTGCAATATCATATCTCGGATGCAGATTGTAAATAATGAAACCGGCGAGTGTAAAAGATGTTTGATTAATCATGTATGAGTTTTTTTTAATGTTTTATGCATTGTTTTTAAAAGTGATATTGTGTCGCTTTTCCATCAAATTATTTATTTAAAGCATTCCCATTTGTTAACACTAACTGACATTTATTTTCACTCGAGGAAATTGTGTATTTGTAAAATTATTTCTTTAGAAATATCTTTATACTAAATATTTTATCACATTATTTTTCTTTCATTAAACAAACTTTTGATTAGTATGATAATTGTTTTTTTTTCATCACATATTTTTTCAGCTGAACTATGACGGTGTTTTGTGGCAATTCTTCGGGCTTCCAAAACAGGCCATAAAACACGATCTATGTTCAGCAGTGGACTTGTATTTTATGGCTATAACGATGGTGGATGATATTTTTTATTTATCACGTTTTACTGTGTAGCCGAAGACAGAAGCAAAGTTGAACTAAAAGCAAAAGTGATTATAGCAGTTGTCTGTTAAATATACTTATTTTTTATATAATACTAGCTGACCAGGCAGACGTTGTTCTGCCCTCTCCGACAACCCTGTGTCCTATAAAAATTCTGAAATTCGTAATAAAAAATATTGAGGGTCACTTGTAGGGATAACAACTATTCTATCTCTCAAGTTGGACCAAACTGCACACAGTGTGCAAAATTTCATTGCAATCAGTTTAGTAGTTTAGGAGTTCATTGCAGACAATGTGACACGTAATTTTTATATATAAAGAGGGTGATAAACGAGCACACAGTCCACCTGATGGTAAGTAGATACTGTGGTCTATAGACACCTACATTTCTCCCCAATTAAGAATCAAAATGCAGATGCGTTGTCATCCCTAAAGTCTAAGATAGAATGCCTCTTTTTCCAGTAAAAAGGGTCTCCGTAATAATAATAATAATGACGTTTATTTCTTACCACAAACAAAGTTACATTTAGAATTAAAGAGTATGTAACAAGTAATATAACAACTGGTTGTGGATTGTTGGTGCCTATGGTAGGTATATAATACCTGTGTACAGGACACCAGGTCTCCACCTCTACGTGGAATGCTACTAGTGTTTATACAACAGATTAGAGCTAATTCTATAGTTATACATTTGTCATCTTAGTAATAACTCAAAATAAACATACAGAAAACTTACGTGTGTGTGTTTTATTATATAATTATATTAATATTATGTAATTTACACAACAACCTCCAAAAGACTGTTTTTGCGTAGGTTTGCTTTAGAAGCCAGTTTAGAACAAAGTTTTTGCATTCATACTGATTTCGAAAAAAGAGTTATAAAGTTTTATGCAATTTATTATTTAAATAAGGGCCAGGGAATATAAAGAACCTGTTACTAAATGCAGTTGACATTGGTAGACGTTGCAACTAGTTGGTTACGTCTTGTCCAACGTAGTGATTATATTTATTCTCTTTGGTCTTGTCCATTCAGGGATATATTGGGTCGAGGCATGTTGTTAAGAGTAGTGGTTAAAATTAATAATTGTCTAACTGTTAATACTTGGCAATAGTTATAAATTTGGTCTGTAGGAAACATACTACGTTTAAAATTCTAAGGTTTAAAACAACATACGTTTAGAAGAACTCTCTGCGCACGTTCATGTTGCACAAAAGTACTATTAGCCGCACCAACCCATGTGGGTATACAATAAGATAAAATGCCATCAAAAACAACTTGTAAAAAAACCCAAGTCTCGCAACTCAGTTATTCTACCGTAAAAAGTAGTGAGATCCATGTAATACGAAATCGATTAATTTATTCAGTCCCTACTTAAGGGTCCTTCTGTCTTAAGTTATTACGTAATTAGCTAACCTAACAACATCTTACAGTGACCATATCAATATTAAAAATCTTTTATGTTTTAAATAAATGGTTTGACTTGGGCATCGCATGAAAACGCAATGTATCTCTCAAGTAATACATATTATATTAAATTAGATTGTTTAGTGCGATTGCCA